ACACTTTTGAAAGCCAATAATTCTGGTACTTTTCATCCAATCAAGTTCACATTTTCCAGACTTACTAATCTTGAGATCCTTTCTCTAATGCAGTTTTTTCCCTAATAAGATTAAAAAGTCTTATCTAGAACATTACCTGTTGTTTGTCTGGTTTACTGTTAGTACTATCAACTGCCGGACGAGGTTTACTGCTCACTTCAACCTGTTAACAAATAAACCGTTCAATATTTGAATACGGACAATCCGTTGTTGCTGTCTCCCCCTCATAGAACTGTGGGGACGAATTTAGGGAAGGGAAAACCCAGAAAACTTTTTCAAGGTGTACAAGATAAGACGAGCTAGGAATTTATTTAACTTCCCCTGTTTTAATCTTATGTTACAAACCTTTTGTTGCGGTGGTCTTTCGTGTTTGACTGGACGAGCAACCGATGGACTTGACTTTGTATTCTGGGGGGAAAATGACGAACAAAAGATGTTTGTACCCAAGCTAGACGGCAATGCAGTGTTGGTAGGAGTGACAAAAACAACATGGTGGACGTGAGAACCAGCAATACTTGAAATGTAATCGCCTATTACATCTACTAAAATTCTTTCCCAGAAAATATGACTGGACACTATGACAAGATACTTTGCACGATACTTATCAACATCCTAAGGTTATCGCCAACAGAGGGGCAGAAGTGTTGATGATAAATGGTGAGGAAGACCTTTGTCTTAGCCAAATATTACGGCGCTGCGTACGAGGGCCTAAGTTAAACAACTCACTGGGTTAATACGTCACCCTCTTTGAATAAAGTTGATTGATTGGTGTTTCCTGTAAACATGACTCAAATTACCGCACATTGTTCCAACCCACGTTAAGATAATACTGGGTACAAAACACATGTGCTTACCAGTCTGATGGGTGTTCTCGTCTTACTTGTAGTGGCTTTGGGTTTCGGGAGGATTGGCGTGTTCAATGGGCTTCGTACTGGTTGCTTCTGTTGTGGTGGTGGTTGTGGTTTCTGGTAAGAGAAAAATAATAAATAAAACGTGATACTAGTCAGGGGCGGATCCAGGGGAGGGGTGCAGGGGTTGCGCACCCCTCCCTGATTCCACTTTGTGCCCCTACTTCGAAGATAACCAATGCTGTTTTTTTCCCTTGGATTCTGAGGGGTGCACCTCTCCCTGGGTTAACTTTGTGCGCAGCAGTACCCCTCCCTGAACAAAATCCTGGATCCGCCCCTGCTAGTAACATTATATTAGTCTTTTAAACGCACAGTTATGGCACGCTAGCTATGCCGTACAAATAAAAATACGGCACTTGTATAACAAAACATACTGGTTTAATAATTGGTCTTGTAGACTCTCTGCTGGTCTTGGGTCTTTCTATCGCTGGGGACACACTTTCGCTCTGGAATTTAAAAAAAGGAATTTTTAATGCAACACTATACAAATAATGGTTTCGGTGTTGGTATCACGCGATATTCTAGTTCATTACTTACACTTTGTTCAGAACCTTTTCGCGGCCGATTTCTGTTGATATCCTCTTCCACTTTTCGTTTTTTCAGAATGGCTCTGGTAATGGTTGCTGGCTTTTTCTCCGGTCTCTGACAACTAGAAATAAATATTTGGTGGTTAGTCTCGAAGTTCCAGAACATGCCACAATAAAATATCTAGTGTGCGTTACCACAGCAAACTAAAAGATGTGTCACGCCATGTAAGAGTAACGAAATGAATTTTACTACGATTACGACTTGATGAAAACATATGCGTTAAGATCAATCAACCTTTATTTCAAGAAAGTGACACTATATAGTGGGAACGCCAATAACCCTATGGCTCTCAAACGCTCTCAAGATGTGGCACTCACTCAACAAAGGTTGGGGGGGAGGGGGTGAGTAGTATGTAACGCCATAAGCGTGATCAACGTACTTATTGCAGTCTGTATCAGGGTTCATCTTACAGCACCAGTTATCAGGAGTATCTTGAAGTACATATCTAGAATGGAACGCCAGTTCACGCCACTTGAGACATTTATCTGTCCAAAGATGAAAGACCGTTAGAATACCGTTGTACTCCAAATTATAACTATGTCCTAACTACATTTTTTCTTATTTTGATTCTGAATTCACCAACAATGGTGGAGCAACTAACTTGGCATCAAGTGTGATCCGAACTAACTTACCGCACTGTACGTAGAGCGGTAGATCCATCATTCGTTTCCGAACATATCTCTCTTCATTGGATGGGTCGTCTTTCCATTTGGCACTGTTGTATCCGTATGCATCCCTGAAAATATCATAAAGATTGGTTATTGTCACCTTTGATGTGACGGCTAGAAAACCATGACAGAAGAAACAGCAATAACAGCACACTTAAGGGGCTGACACGCGGTGCATCATTGCGCACAATATTGCAGACAATGGTTACTGAAGTAGGATCGTTTTCTACTTCAGTAGCATTGCAACAAATTGCGTCATGTGACTCGCAACATCGATTGCCTACAACATTGCACGTGTGTTCTAAGCTTAACACCAATAACGACAACAGGACAACAGGAACAAAAATAGAAAATAACAGAAATAATAACAGAAATAACAGCAATAATAGTGAGAGAAAGAGATAAAACTTCTTATTTTTTTAATATATATATTTGATTCCACTTACCAGAACTTCACTACTCCTAGTTTGGCTGTCGAGAAAGAAAGGAAATCCACTAAGAACAACAGCGCTTGCAACGGCAATAATTTTGTAGGTTATGAGAGGTCTAGCATTTTTGTAGTTGGCATCCCCAATCCCTTACATAATGTTAATCACTGAAAAACCCCAAACAGACAAATTTACTTACAAATGGGACAGTTTTTCCAGTAATCGTCCAGATGTTCTCCAAGCGCTCTAGTTAAGGCTTTATACTCCTTCAAAAATAAGATGTTTCAAAACTTAAACAGAAGAATTATCRTTCTCTCTCTGTCACGGGTTCAAACGTTCTTTTATCACTATAATATAAAACTAGTACAGCTGTATACAATTCAGGATCACTGCTTTCACGCCAAGTATGGACACTTTTAAAGATAATTACGTGACGTAATCAGCTTTCAGGATCACGTGATCAGCTTTCGCGCCACGTATGGACACTTTTAAAAATGATTGCGTGACCTGATAGTGCATATGGCCTGTTATGAAGAGTGGTATTCTTACCTTGCCGTCGGCAAAATCTTGTTTGTTATGTGTTGGCTCAAGTACCAGATAAGGAACATTGACCACACCCATTACCCCGTACCCCTGGCTGCGGTAAAGATAAGAACGTAAATATATATATATATATATCTACTAATGATATCATGACTAGTAAAGGCACAGGTGAGTAGCATACTTACACTCCTCCTTCCATTTGACAACCGACCTTTTCGTACATCTTTATTAACCTACAAAGTAAAATATTTTGCTATAAATAAGGATCGTGGAACAGTGATACCTCTAAGAGTAAATGGTTTGAACCCAGGTGTTGAAAGTCTGGTGTGAAATGTGATCGTCCGGGTGAGTGTAGTCTTGAGAAAGACTGTTGTTGGTGGTGACTGACGTTTCGACAACCTGAGCGGAAGTCATCTTCAGAGTCCAGTGAGAAAATTAGTACTCGAGTGATACCTCTATTGCTGGGTTTCTATCAGCTGATGAAAATCTTTGAATCTCATTATCTGCTCCAAATGGTGGCCAAACACTAGCCACCATGTGCTGTCAGCCAGAAAAAATTCAGCCAGGAAAACTTGTGATTAAGCTGATAACATTGCGCAAGGGATAGGAAATGACGTCATGTGAAATCCAGCAATTAAGCGGACACCCATCATAAATTGGACAGCTAGTTGGCACGGTCGCGAAATTTTCTTCCCGCTTTCAGTTATGTAAACAAACCTATTTATCAGACACCATTTAGGCGGACACCAAGCAAGGACAAGAAGGAGTCCACTTAATAGAAGTGCGAAAATACCAAGTTATCAATGAACGCGACGTAACAAACCCACAAACCTGTTACAGTTGTAAACCATGACTCCGTAGCACCGTCGCTTGTTTAAATTGATGCCAAAAATAAACTCTAACGATTGCGGGTCTTTCAAAGCTCTGCAAAGATTAGAAAAGATCTTCATTACCCTATGACTCTATTTACTTTGTACTGATCATCGGGTAGGAGTAAGAAAATGAGGAAATAGATGATGGGCAAAGAAGGAAAAGGAACATGGAAAGGAAGGAAAGTCTATTTTCCAAAGCAGACTATACTCTTGTTTTCAAAATAGTGCACCATTTGAGCCCAACAAAGTTTATTTCACGTTGTTTAATCTTGGTACCTCAAAGCATATGTTTTATTCATAACCGCTTTGATATAACAGACTGGACAAAATCAATGGAAAGCTGTTGTTAATTTCAAACTTGGCGGCTATGACGTAACAAATAAAACATCGAGAGAGGGGAGGAGCTTGGACGAGAAAAATCGGGCAGAGAAAAAGATAAGATAACAAAAGTTTCGATTCATTTTTTATGGAATACTATGTAGAACAAGTCCTTGGTAAAAAAATAGACGTACTTCCTTGTGTTGTTCAAAATCATCTTCTTGATGTTGACATCTGCTCTTGCTTCAGCTAAACGAGCACCAGCCTGTCTTTGTACTGCCTGAAGGCCAAGAAAACAGCGTTTAAGCGATTGAATCCACGGGTATGCCAAGTAAGAGAGAAATGAATTACGACTAAATACTTACGATTGAGTCTTTGCACGTTCTTTCTGCTTTTTCTCTTTCTTCCCTAAAGAAAATACATGTAAGCATGTAAGGTGAGCAGTTGCCCGATAAATTCCAATTCGATCTGTGAGTTGGCTATGCCCAGTCACTTAGGTCAGCCCAGAGGTTGTTTCAGCGGCGTTCGATAAAATTGAAGTTCTTTTTTTCTTTCAAAGATCAGAAAATTTATTCTTACCTGTCTTGAATTTCCAGTTCATGTGCTTTGGCTTCAGCTGTAAAAAACGAGGCACACGTGTCTTTATTAGAACCGTTAATGGACCCTTTAGTGGACCGCGGTTAATGACCCTGACTATAAAGACTGTTTACACGATGGAACATGGCCAGATGAGTAATGTCCCGTGTCTCGAGGAAAAGACCCTAGGGAATACACCAAGGAGAATAGTAATGGTAATGCCTTTAATGGACCGCGGTTATTGGACCGCGGTTATTGGACCCTTTTCTATAAAGACTGTTCACACGATGGGACTGACCTGTTTTCAACTCCGTTGCAGCTTTCTTCTCCTCGCGTTCTAATCGACACTTGAAGCGCTTCGACATAAAAGTGTAAGATCTGTAACGGTAACGAACAAGTAAGAACAGATGTTAGTGAAAACTCTCCACCTGTGCAGCGCGGTAGGACCGCGAGAAGGTATGAATTGCCAACTACTTGACGTTTTCTGATTATTATTCCTTTATACTAGTATCATAATATCATATCCCTAACAGAAGAACTACCACTAACCCTCCCTCGGCTTCGGGGACAATTAATCACTGATATCCTGCAGTGCCAAGTTTGAAATCGTTGGAATTRGAAACATTTACATCTAGTTGATTTGAAATACTCTAAAATAACTTACGCAGTTTTATAGAGGGACGTAGTTAATCTGACTGTACGAACTTTTTTGTCCTAAAAATATAAATAACAAAAACAATCACATTAAACCTGAATGATGAATTCGTTAATACCCTACAGAAGGAAAATTTGCATTAAAGTAGCCACACCAAAGTTGTCTGTATGAACGAATCCGTGGATAAAAACAGAATAAATACACACCTGAATGTAGATCTTCATCCTTGGATCAAGATATAAGACCGACGTGTAGGCACGAAATGACTTTCGTTCAGGAATAACGCTGCAAGTTGAAGAAACAACAATTAAATGTTTACGCAATCGTTTGTATTGTATACACCCGAATAGCTTAAACGGTTAAGCTAATGCCCTTGAGCGTCTCCCTAGGCCTAGGGCAAACGTCGAACTTTCCATGCACCGAACTCATTAAAGACAATGGATATCAGGTGATAATGAGGCGGCATTCTTTGATGTAATTGAGATCGGTGCATGGAAAGTTCGACGTTTGCCCTCGGCCTTAAGTGATCGTATCCCAATAGACCCATAATTGTCAACTTAGGAGGTTAAAATTCAGCTGAGGGAAATCGAAAGAGCTACACAGCCCCTGGTCTCACTCTCCCTAGATTGGCCACTGTATGCAGTCAGACTATCTATGTGCCCAAATGACTTACTAGTTATCATCGCCATACGATTCACCAACGTAGGGATCAGCCATAACGATATCATAAGGATCGGCAGTGACCTGCAATAAACACCATGGCCATCTTTTAATAAAAGGTTTCAAAGTGGATATCACAAGATCCACACTGTTTTGAAGATCTGTCATTCGTCTGTCAGTACGTGACTTTCTATCAACAACATCCAACATGGCCGTCATTTATTCCGTCATCGTTTTTCTCTTGGGAGTTATCCTATATTAAATGTGTTCGTCTACTCACGTTAAGTTCGGGTTCTCCGTTATCCATTAAGGACATGTTGAACAGCAAAACCAACGTTCCTGTCACGACAAAGCAAAACCATCAGTAACAATGTCAGTCATAGCAACCATGACTTATATACCCCTAATTCAAAAAACGTTGTCATCGCCAAAGGCGATAGGCAATAGGCGAAAAGCGATAGGATATATGTCATTCCAAGATCCAAGAATAGCTGGAATGACTTGTGTTCCTTCTTCTTATTCACGTCAAGAGTATGGACCTTCGTGCTGAGACTGATTCGATGTTCTTTGTATTCAACGAAACCATTTCCATGTCGGAATGACCTATCGCCTATCGCCTTTGGCGATGAAAACGTTTTTTGAATTAGGTGTATACTGTACATCGCGATTCCTATCATCCACGTTCTTCTTGTCTTAATAATAAAGATGTAATTATATTTTTCGTGTCAGCGGCAAAGAAAGCAATGATAGCCGCGAACCATTAATCCCGTTTACAAACCTGTTGACTTGATTTTATCAAATTCGTTGAATATGTCTTCTGTTGTTTTGAAAGGTGAATACTTTGTAATGATATCAACTTCTGTCTTGTGCTGTAGAATAAAAACATTGTATTATTAAGCCAAGGAAACCCATAACTTGGATAAGTAGTAGACTTCTCCACAGGGAACCCATCTACAGTAAAACAAACATTTAACGAGAACAACGAATGAAACTCTAGAAATTTTGTATTAGCGCGGAACTTGTGGTATTATGAGGTTTTGTTAGGCAAATAAGACATCGTGGTCTTGCTGGGGTACACAAGCAAAAAAAGCTGAGTTTTTACCCAAGCTAGACCAGAATGCACTGGTTTTTTTAGCTCAAGGCACTATGATTGGACGTTGAAGGTTTCTTACTTTGTGACTGGTTGAAATCGTAACCAATGCCGTGAGTGTTAAAACGGTTTGGTTTTACCTGCTCAGGATCACGATTTTTCTTAAGAAGCGGTTTCTTTGTCTTAGCATCCCATGCTGGCATTGGCGCGATGATCTACAAACGAAAAAAAAGATTCCATCATCAAAACTAGCAACAAAATAGCAAAATATTTCCAAAAACCCTGCCTGTTGCGTGACAAGTGCTTAACAGGAGAAACAGAGTTGCTGGGGTGCACAAACCTCGTCGAATATTTTCTCTTTTTCTTGGAACGTTCGTGAAATAAATAGGCAGCTTAATTTGTTGTCTCTAAAAGAAACAAGCAAAGCTTGGTTAATTTAATGGAACAAAAGGAAAAAACGAATGGATGGAGATCAGAGAAAGGGAAGAAGCGAAAACGAGACTTACTTTTTAGTAAACAACAGCACATCCTTAGCTATTCTCATGGTGCCCCTGTGAGAAAAATAAGATACATAAGCTATATAAGAAGGAAAGAGAGTTATATTTTTTCAGAGGAAAAGGGATTCTCCTTGTACTCACGACTTTAGCCCGTTGCCGTATTGACCAATCATGTTTTTGTCTATGATTCTTTTGTCAGACCGACCAAATTTGATTACGTTCGCCACCTCGTCTGGAAAAAAATTCAAAAATCAGCATCAATAGGCCCTTTGCAGTTAACGGTCACGTGTCTGTACCGGAATGCAAAATTTGTGTTTTTATTTTAAATTGATAATTCTTTTTAAGTACTTGTAAAGAACTGAATGAAAAGATGTGTATCCAGTGTGTTACGAAATGCAGTTTTATTACGATTTCTCGAAACAGGTTGTAGAAAGTTTGTTTGCTCTCCAGTAAATTTCACCCATGGGAATCAAAATGTTCATTCATTTGCTCTCAGTAAATGAATCAGCACGCGATTGCTTATCTGCAAAGGGCCTATTCGTCTTAGCTCAGCTCAAAGGTGGTTTCAGTGTTCCGCGCAGATAAAAGTGATAATATTTTTCGTACCTGGATCCATTCCATCGCCGTCATCCAGAAAACAGAGCATGTATTTACCACGGTAAGATTCGGCAGGAACTGAAAGAAAAATTAGATATTATTTTATCATTAATCTTCCTAAAACTAGAATCGAACTCTAACGCCCAGGTCAAACGTCGAGCTTGAAATGAGCCGAACCTAATTCAAACAATGAATAACAAGGCGGTCTTCTTTGATGTCATTCGGTTCGGCTCATGTGAAGTTGGTTGTTTCACCTTAGTCTAACTTATTCGATATCACGTAGGACGTAAAACCTTGCAGACGTTTCAGACTTGTTATGATGCCCGTTTACAAGTAGGATGAGAGACGCAGTGCTAAGGGAAAGTAATTTGTTTTCTTTCCTGGCGACAACACATACAAACGTTGTAAGGTCACTCTACTTGTAAACAGGGCTTACTTAAGTATATCACTGTTTTTAAAAGTAAAATACATAAAAATGCTCTGTAACAAATCTATTAGAAACACAGAATTCAGTAAAGATTATGGTGCTAGTATCGGCATGCATGACTTATTAATAAGTGTCATGAAAATTAGTGAAAATCGTTTCCTCTTTGGGTTAAAATGTATAAAAAAACTATTATTTTCACTTTCATTTTTTATTCCTAGCAAATGCTCCGCGTGCAATAAAAGAGGAAGCATTTCCGGTAACAATGTTACCGCAACATTGCCGTTTCTTACGTTTCGTAAATGTACAGTAATCCTATGGATTTGAGAGAGATATGCTCTATCTTTTCTCAGGTTCTCGGATGTCCTCGTTCCGCAACGGACCTCAAATTCGTTCGTCCGTGCGTCTTTTGTGTTTCAAATGCCATGGACAAGTAATAGCTAGCAATTAATTAGTTTGTTAGTTCTCGGATAAGGGAGATGTAAAAAGGGCTATTGACGCTTACGGAGGACAGCCATGATAGAGAAGTCTAAAGTTAAAGCCAGTTAGTTAGGGATTAGTATAGTTAGTAAACAGATGGATCAAGTCAGTGGACTTGAGCGAGGTCTTATAATGGCTCAATGAACGTACTGTTTTGAAAAGAGAAAAGAGCGCATTTGAAATCGAGAATTATACTCTCGGAAATCAGTTGTAATGTTTGTTTTTTAGTGTTACTTTACTGCGTAACGACCAAGCTACCTAGACCAGCGTTCAATCCAATCCAGCCAAACGAACGAAGTTAAGCAACACTGAGTTGAAAGGATGGATGGGAAATCATGTGACAACACTTTCAACCAGTGAAAACATCATCGGCCTGAAGATCATTCTTTAGAGCCCGTATAGATAACGGTCGTACAGACTTCAGAAACTTCACGAGATTTCCGTTGATCCGCGTTTCGGAAGCGTTCCTGGTGTTAATACGACGGCCTATTGAACGAACTAAAATTTCAGGCGACAAGCACATGGCTGAGGAGCTTACAACTAAAAGTAGAGTACGTAGCGTAGGCTACATATTAGAAACCATTAAAGACAGTTTCATCTGTAGTGTATTTTAACTTGTATTCATTCCAAGATCTTGGGTTTCTGAGACACATTGTTTGATATTGTTGCATTTGAGGAATCGCACACTTCGCCAGCGGTAGGAAGACTGATAGTAGGAATTTATAGGGTAGCAGGTTAACACGTCTCGAGCCTCGCCATGGAGTAACCAGCCTGAGGAAGCTGTGGGAATGCTGATAATAGGGTAGCAGATTAACTCGTCTCGAGCCCTGCCATGGAGTAACCAGTCTGAATCTTGAATAATGATATGGTTCCCTCCTATGTTCTCTGCAGGCATCCAGTTATTGTGATTGTAATGGATGGAGTAACGAGGCAAGTATTAACAATCCAATTCACCTAGTTAAAAGCACTTTCAAATGATTAGTTAACAATCAATCCAAATTCTTCTCCTGCTTGGGGATACTTGAGAAACTTCGGTTATGGCGAGTTGTCTTTTTTTCAGTGGTTACTTCGTATGGTAATCATCACTTGGTCAGACTGCACTTTGCTTGAAGTCTCCTTGATTTTGCTTGTCTGGAATATATCCATGAAACCCTTGACTCGATAGACTATTCTTCAGCGGTTTCTTACTATGGTTTTCATTTACCGTGCAAAATTTTCGTTACTTATTCATAGAGTAGTTCAGGTATTTTGATTAATAATTCAAAACAATGATACGACGCAGCATCGTGATACACTTCCTTGCTCTGCGACGCTTTCAGCAACGTCGTTATTAATTTTGTGCATTTGGTCTTCGCTAACAGACGCTGTCTACAATCAAACACTGATTTCTGTTGTTTAGTTTTCTTCATTGAAGACGTACCATGACTTGTCTCGATTTACTTGATTTACTGAGTGTGAAACTGTGTCCTTTACCAATGAAGCTTTGATCCAAGACCATACATCACAGTAACTTGATAGTAATATTTGATTATGTCTGTTGCCAGTCTTACACACAAGAAGTTTTCATGATCTTCTGACGTGTTAAGCTTTGTCCTCCATCCCTGAAGCTTTGATCCAAGGCTATACGTCACAGTGACGTTATCGTAATAGTATTCGATCATCTCTGTTGCCAGTCAGTTTTCGTGTTCATTGCACACCAGAACTTTTCGTGATTTCCTAACTTGTAAAGCTTTGTCCTTCAAGGCCATACATTAAAGTGACTCGATCGTAATATTCCATTATCTCTGTTCCTCAGTTTCCATGTTCAGTACACACCAGGACCTTTCGTGATTTCCTAAAGCGTAAAACTTTGTCTTCCATCGCTGAAGCTGTTTTCCCAGGCCGCACTCAAGACAATTGTTCCGGTGAACAAGGCACGAACCAATATCCAATATCCAAATAGTATGCTGCACCTTATTTTCCCAACAAATACATTTGCCCAATATTAAACTAGACTCTCGTTCTTGGCCGGCAGCAGACTTCATGGAGACGAAAAGTCCAGGAAGATTGTTCATGTTCAATTCTTTGATGTATTACAGCTGGCGATGCTGCAATTGCCAATCGGATATATTCATTCTAACATCCACCAATAAAGGTTCTGCAGCCACTCGACAGATGTCACGCAGTTTGTATTATATTGTGCCATCCACCAACAGTCCTTCTCGCACTACGAGATGAAAATGGAATAAACACCTTCCCTTTGTTCTACAGGAGAGAAGCTTCTTGCTCGCAATGGGGGTGGGCATTCTTTCAGCAAAGATTGAATGGAATACTCAAAGGACAGCTTGACCCCCGTCAAAGCACACAATACTTTCACTCGTGCGTTAGACATATAAAATAAAAGATGTAAATAAAGTTAATAAATATATTTCGTAAAACAGGGGCTACATATAAGCTGAAATAACGAATAAAAGGGACGTTTTATGATTATTCATTGTTCACTCATTTCGGCGGGTTATCACTCATTTCGAAGTGTTTTTTTCACGTGTTAAGATTTTGAGTAAGCAATTCTATAACTGTCCTGTCGACCTAAAAGCGAGGAGTTYATAAAAGGCTAAAACACATTAACAACCAAACAAAGGTCTTAGTACTACATACGTCAAGACGCTGTAAATAGGAAATGAAGCTTGGAAAACCACAATCTCAGTTCAAAAGATTTTAGCTCTAGCTGGAAATAATTAATTGCTGAAAAAAAGCAAAAACTACAAGATTGTTCTGGGAAATGACTAAAGTTGAATGGACAAAGAAGCAAAGAGATATGACAAACCATAGTTAATAATACATATTAACCATGGACAAACTTAATACCTAAACTGCAGGTGCACCTTAAGATATATTCTAAAATGCAACATTAAAATTTTCAAAATATATTTCATAAAAAATACGATGAAAATGACTTTGGCATAATATTTTTAATGTCATAAGCCTTAAACAGAAGATTTTTTTCTATTCATCATGGCAAATTAGTGAAAATTTCAATGCCATGGTTAGTCAGTTAGCGTAGAATATAAGGTGTTGTGGTTAAATACACCAAACATTCACATGGATCATTGACACTAATTTCTCTTTTATTTTTTCAGATTGTCTGAAAACTCAAAAAGTAAATTAAAAGGGAAGGTAATTTTAATCTAAGATATTGCTTGCAATTAATCCTACACAAGCCATGTTATTAACTTAAAACAAATTTTATCAAAGTTTAAGATTATAAACAAACTGAAGCTTGATGAAAGTTTCTTGATAATGGATCTAATGAAACTTTTGCCAGGTGTTAGAAAACTCATTAATAATTCATGAAGAAAACACAATAGAAATCATGACCATGAAGGTGATTTTATATCTGATAAAGATTCGTCTTCATTTGCATAAACTTTAACTTGGATTTTCTCTATCAAACTTGGTTCATTTCGTAAAAAAATCGGTACACAATGAGAACAAACATCATAAGTTTTCTAAGCCGTTCAATAATCTCGCAGATCGTGGTTTATCGGGTCTAAAACCACTCGGCTGCGCCTCGTGTTTTATACCCGATAAAACACTCCTGCTCGTTTATTAAACATTACTTAGAAAACCATAAATCAATAGTAACAATAGTAAGGAAAATTAAAAAAGTAAAAACTGATTATTTAAATACAGGAAACACTCCTATCTCTTCGATGTGTATCTGTGTCTATGACAACTTCCATGAATCTGGTGCTTAATTAATCAAACAAAATCCTCTTTTTCTAAAGAGTAAGAGGTTTTTGAGTTTTTTAAACATTACTTAACACTTCAAATTCTTGGGATGTCTGTTATGTCATAGCAGCCATATTGGTTGATGATAACAAAGCATTTCTCATTAGGATATTCTCTTCAACTAATATAGGGGCTATAGGGATTTTGAGTCATGTGGTTGCATCCAAAGGAAAAATCACTTTATTTAAAATACATACCCATGGGAACTCTATGAAGGTAAAATTAATAATTTAGAACCAAGATAGTATATAGAATTATGAATCATTTTTGCTTTAAAAACTAACTCAAAAATATATTATTTCTCTGGCTCAGAGTGGATATCTATTCTTCGTTTGCCAAAACTAACACTAAAATGAAGAACTTTACCAATGCAATGCATTATAATAAAAAAATTTTTGGAGTAATCTAAAGTTCATGTTATTACACAAAAGTTAGAAACAAAGTTATGAAAAATATTGAAGATTTAATTAACCTCAGTTAAGATTAACCAGATTTTTTCAATCATAAAGAAATAGTTTGTCTTATTTCATGAGCATTGCGATATATTTAATGAAAATGAGAAAAAAWTTTTTTTTAATTCCTTTTATTTCTTAAAAAGCCATTGAAATGCAGACCACAGAGATTTTTATGTATTTTCAAACATATCCATATGCATACAAATATGTAGATACTGGTCTAACCAAGTAAAATCATAGGTCTAATTTGAAGTCTTGTTTTTCATTAAGTACAAACCTGAGTAAATATCAATCCTTTTGGATGCAGCATCTCTATGGGATTCAAGAATATTATCATTTGTCAGTACTGGTAATGCTCCCACCTTTATAAGCAGGTGCACTGGAAACCTTAAATAAGAGAGTGGAGTAAGATCGGAGTAAACATTATGTCATTAGGTCCCAAGCGAAATATCAACCACGTTATTAAAATATTTTTTTCTTTCTATAATTGCTGTTTTACTATGGATCTATCAAGGAACGCAAACGTGTAAACTTCATTGAGGCAAACGACGCGCGCTGATTGACGAATTACGTAAACACTTTCTGGAAGATCATTTTACGAAAAGCCCTCTGATAAAGCACTGTTCAAGGAGAGCGCATGAGAATTATTAATATTTGCAAAGTCGCTTCCGAATTACAGACTATTTATCAGAAAATGATTTGTGTTGTCCGAAGATGATGTAACCTAATGAAATTATGTTTACCGTTTGAATGATAGGGATCGCTATGATTAGCTAGCCATGAGTAATAAGAACTTAGTATTACGGGGATCGGATGCGTTCACAAAGTGAGTGACTTTAGGGATCGACTTACCTGGCGTTATCTACAAGCTCAGCAAGAGCGCCAAAGAGGAATTCATGGGTAGTACTAGAAGAAAATGAAAGAGAAATCTCACTGTATAATTGGTTTCATTCATGAAAACACACTGTAGACAATGATATGGTTCAGCGATTCTGTAATCATTCCATGCGTTCTCGTGTTTCAGAAAACCACTGCATTCGCATGCTAGCCCACGGAGCACGTATACGTACCTCAAATGAGATGACCGACTCTTAGGATAAAATCATTATTCCTCAACACCACACGATACAGCAAATTCAGAAGTTACTTCAGAAAGAGGAAAACCCTAGCAAAACTCTACTATACGCGAAGGTAAACGACGTAAAATTTACTCGCTGAAGTCTTACAGTTAAACTCATGCAAAAGCCCGCGAAATATATAGCTGACGGCGCTTAGCCAAATCAAGTTAAGTACCTGCAGATTTTGATCATCATTGCATCCGTTAAACTTACCTGTTAGTATGCAGATAATCGAAAGTTAGTTGAGCTCTCGCGATGGAAGCATATGCGTCACACGTTGCCATGTAGGCACCACTAGAACACTGGAAGAAGAACACTGACTTGAAAAGGCCGTAGTAATTGATAACAGTGCTCTGAACTGCTAAAAGACACTGCCTTCCCTTCTGGAAGATAGTATTTGGACGTTTACTTGGTACAAGAAACAACTTCAAACTTATTTATAGGAATCTCCTTGCTGAAGAAGAGGTTCTAGTCAAATGCCTACACTTATATAGTCCTAGTAATAGTCCTATAGATAGCTCATCATGTGATACCTTTACCATGAGGCCTGCGTGTTATAAGCTGCAGTTGTCGTCGTGTGATTGGATGAATATAGCTTGAATGACAGGACCTTAATGACCTCCAAGGCCTGTGATTGGTTGGTAAGAGCAAAGGCGCCAGCTTCCTTGACAGTCGCCAGCGCCCTTTACTTGAGACTGCAAGCTGCTTCTTGATCAAGCTGAATGTTTTGGTCTTTCATCCCAGATTCTGTCGTCTCTGACACCCGTTGTTAGAAAACTTTCGACTCTATAATACTCAAAATGGAGTTAGGAAGGTAGGTTCAAGCAAAAGAATCTAAAATTCGTGTTCAAACGATCAGAATTCGCTCTGAATTTTATAATTTTGTATGCTGCTACGAATATCTTTGTATTCCTTGTCTTTCAAAGCAATGATAGATCATTCTTCGACTCTTATTTGCTTTGGAAGGAAATAAACTTGGCATAGACCAGGACCGCATTGTCCTTTAGATATTTAAAAAGCTTTTTATCTTATTTTTTCCAAAATTTCCTTGAATTTCAATCTATAGAAAAGCGAAACTTCGTGTTCAGCCACGATTATGAATAAATTATCGATCAATCGAATGACAGCGTTACAAGTTTCCTCATTAAAAACCATCCAGGGCAGATGAATATGTCAGACCTTAACTTTAATTAATGAACTTCATAGGTTCGCTAAAGCTTCCTGCCTCTTCTTAAAATTATACATGAAAAATTCTATTTTGTTTAAGCGTTCGGATTTTGAACGCTCTAGCACTACCTCATTGCATTGTTTTCGCCGCAGTATTCCTCTCGTACGTCTTGACGTCTTGTTTACTTTATCTGTGGGTTTTTGCAAAAGTTGGACAAAGAAATTGTCAACGATGTTGGTTTTCTTCGATTTTAGCTTCCTTAATTAACACTGATGTCAAACCAAGCGCCCAGCATTCAATCRCCGTCACAACACTAAAGCCCTTGTCTCTTCATTCATAACAATCGCTTTATTGGACCCCGTCACAGGCATAGTGTTGTGCCTTTTAAACATTAAAAATTATGTTGCACACTACCAGGAGTATAATATTGCAAAATAAAATTGGGTAATTTAAAAACATGGAGAACTTCATTAGCAGACTCACAAACTATTTTTGCATTTATCATACCTCATTTTTTTTCATCTTTTCACGGTGTATAATTTACCTTTTCATTTTTACTGTTTCATTAGAAACACCGACGCAGCTCACACTAGTTTTTAGCTAGTTATATCTTTTTATACCTCACAAATAATCTTCCAATCACATCTCCGTATTTTAGTCACGTCGCGATCTATTATTGCGCGATGTTAGCAGGAACCTATTGGAATGCAAATAAACTTATTGTTAAGGCACTATAGTAGTCTTTTTATTGAAAAAATTATTTGTTCGATAAAACAAAACATCTATAGGATTCATCCGAGCCCACTAAGTCTTGACGTCAATATTCTGTCATCATTGGCTCGGATGAATTCAATAAGCGTATAATGCTAATTCATTTCTCTTTTATGCATTATTAATTCGTTAGGCGAGACTTGGTGGTGCAGATCTGGCAAGARGATTTTTTCGTGATGAACGAAGAAGAATATGAACATGAAGAAGAATATGGATAAGGAATCAAAGTTATGACGTTCAAACGTCACGACAAGAATCCCAAAAATGTAATTACTRAAGGAGGAGTTTATACAAGGGGAAGTATTGGATAGACGTGTCAGTCATCGTGTCAAATGCACATTTTAATGGCCAGTCATATTCATTCCTTCAAGAATCGTCATCAGTTTCATGGAAATGCRGGAGAATGGCAGCATGTTTACGTCGTCATGCTATTAAAACGAGGTCTTGAGCGACTCCGATGATGGAGCAAGGAGTTCATCACTTGGAAATGTCAGACGAGCTTTAAAAAGGATGAATCGTCTTCGTCAGGAACCCCAAGACACCTTCTATAAGATGTCTTGGAAGAATGTTGGTGTACAACAGTTAAATATTTGTTTCACTCAAGCGCACTTTGTATCCTTGACCTGGAATAAAGCCGGCAAATTGAGAATGTGAAAAAAGATTTTGACCATTTTCAAAATAAAAAGCCCTCTTCCCTCCAAAAGAATTTTTCGCTGTCCCTATCCTAGCAAAACAGAGTATCTAATGTCGGTGAATCGTTATCTTTTCTGGAATATTTTCGTCTCCACAGGAAACCGCCATTTCAGTATTGGCCCCAACGATTTTGTTTTCCTGTCTTACACGTTATCCGAGTATTCGCTAACTCTTGATGTACTCAGGTTTGAGTACAAGCGTACCTCAAACGCTATACRTCCAATGCCGGTCGCTTTAAGATGTCATCATTTTGTGTGACGGCTTTTTTGTTCATGGACAATCCAGCCACCTGGACATTTTACTTTTCCCCTTGAACTTGAGGAAAGTCGTTCTAATTAATACGTGGCGTAAACCTTTTGGCCCAGCATTTCCGTACCGACCGAGGATACTTCACAGCTAATGAGCGAACCGTTCAAGGACAGTTGTGTCCGGAAGGACTGAATTCTACAAGACTGCTTCAGTCGGCATTCGACGCAAGCTCACTTATCCGACGTACAAGGAAAACCAACTCAAAAGTCAAAGTTCTCTGGTAATTGCGATCACATTATGAGGCAAAGATCATTAATTCCAGTGTAGTTTCCATTTTGGTTTTGAGCAGAATTCAGTTTCTTCCACTATTCCTACCGACTTCATTTCTCCAGCACCCCTCTAATATTCAACTTGTACATTAACGTAATGGTCACTTGAAGAAATTTTCGGGCTAGTCATAACTCGTAAAATCCAATCTATAATAATGAGTATAATGCATTGTTGCAGTAATTCTTGGAATTTCCTGTTAAATTTGCATCTCAATCTTCCACGTCGAAACTAATTGTCTGCGTATGCCCTGTTGCGGAAAGTGAAATACTAAGTAATAAGTTCTCAACAGGTGCACCATCTGCTTAGCAACAAAATACTAGCCGCAAAATGTTGAAATTTTCAAAGCTTGTCGACAGCACGATATGGCATGTCTGTGGCATGGCTTTGGCGAACCGTCTCCACGCTTTGCGCCTCAAACCATTTGCGTTTTGTTTTATTTCATGGGCAAAGCAGAGCCGGTTGTACGAAGTGCATAGCGCTATCCGACGCGACGGATTAATCCTTATCTTAATCCTTATAAGTCGATCCAGTAATAAAATATATTGATCCAATGGATAAGATTTATCCGTCGGATAGCACTATCCAGCTATAAGTTCTCTTTCGTAACAGATTCCTATAGTTTCTATGAAACACTTTCCAGTTACGCTATCTTCATGATTATCCGTGTCCAGATCAACTTCATTTGTGTTCGTTGTTTCGCTGCATATTATATCCAAGACAACAAAATAAACGTGAGGGGCTTTGCTTCTCGCTACATAAAGGGTTGTTTTCGTTCACACTTTCGAAAACAGTACCAACAGTGGTGGATAAAAGATACCAAATAAATCAACCAGAAAAACTACCCCTGAGGGTTAGATTGTCAATGGTGTCTTTCGTGTTCATGTCGAGAAGTYTCCGATATCGAGTAAGGGAGGGTACAAGGCTCTTGCTAATGTTGCTGCAGATATTGATGCAATCTGAGTAGGGATCACTGTGACATGTTTGTTATGATAATTATAAGTCCTAGCTCGTATTAATAATGACCAAGACTGCGTTAACTTTATGGAACACGAGGGCCTAACATCCAGAATAAAATGGTAAACCAACAATGATTTTACATGATAGTCCCAAATACCACTTCCAGTAATTTTCGCCAAGACACAACGTCATTTGGTATAAACCTAATTAATCGTTTTGAACATGCCGACCAGAGATCAATTAACTGGTGACGCACAAAAAGCAGGTGGCATATTAACATCACAATGGCTTTATTAGTAAATATGAAGTACCGCTATACCGACACCGCCAAAATCTATGGCTCTTCCCGAGTTGTAGTTAATATTTTCTCGAATCCTGGCAGACGCCTTTGTATTTGACCATGATGAGGCTTGACAATAGTCTCCCTTGCAGCCAAAGTGGACCGTAGGGGAAAAAGCGTCGCTTCCGATATTCAAGCAGCCAAGGAACCGTTCATTCAGTTTCACGGGCATGTTGGGGCTGGTGGGGTTTGGGGGAGGGCACGTGAAAAAATGGTATTTAAGAGGGGGGCACCCCAAAAGTAATTGCCTAAATATATAAAAATATACAGGCTATGATTGGCTGCTTTGCCAGTTCATTCTTACATACGTTCTGATTGGCTCGCACCAGTATTACTCGTCATGAGAATTCTTTCTTAAAATGTCTTAAATATAAGGCGGTCACGGAAGTGAAAATCTTTGACTCCAAGGTCTAGCGGAAGCTTTCTAGTTGCATCTTTGGAAAACCGTTGTTTACCTTCACTGTAATTTCTCCTTTTAGAACTAAGAATCTCCTGGTAGTTTTCAAACAGAGTTTCTATTTCTTATCGACAGTTAAATTCGGTCTGCACGCAGGCTAAATAGGGAGCGATGTAAAAAAAATTAGGTTGGGAAGGAGTCATATACATACACAGCCACCCATGCCCGTAAAAAAATGAACGGTCCCCAAAATACAAAGAACAAGTCATCCAACCATTTTGGGTCCCAAAACGGACCGATCATTTATTCCCTACTTTGCTTTCAATAAACCGCTACATAGTAGCTTCGAATTGAAGAACCATTACAATAACTAATATAGTGCGTACGAAATAAAAATAATTGCTATAAATATCCATAATGATAAAAGAAAGAAGTCAATAGAAGTATGGTATAAGTAACTTCAATCAAATAATTCCAAGCACCCATGATTTTATAATACTCCCATTTCAAGTTCGCCTTTGCTCAGTTTTAGCCTCGATTGTGTACGAATGTCGTCTTTTCTTTTATTAAGGTCCATTGTATAGTGTGGAATGTACGTTCTACGGAACAATACGTGTTGATTAAAATGCAGCGGGTTTTGGTTGAATAGCTGAATATTTCAACGCACAGACGAGACTAAGGCTGAGGAAAAGAGAACTCAAAACTGGAGTATTGGTCTGACTTACAACAGGGCATTTTTTTWAAACTTGTTCACTCAAATGGTTTCCATTTGGAAGCCATTTGAGAGAAAAATAGTGACTGGTTTCTAATTAAAATGTATGTTTTAATTTAAAATTTTAATAATAATGCAAGTAATATGTAACTCGGCGGTGAATATTTGCTTTGTTTAAAACTTATAAGAGTTTGATCAGACAAGGGAAATAACAAGACTAAATTTATTTTCTATTATAGAGTGATTTTACTTTCCCGTTGAAACAAAAATTAGTGTTACTTAAAAGATTGAAAATAACATGATCGTCATGTCAACCAACATGGCTGCTATGAGATCAAGAATAAACGGCATTCGAATTTCTGTTGTTCGTGGTAAATTAATTCAACTGTCATTACCCAATTTGAAGCAAGTTACACAAAAAAATTTTAATCTTCAACTAACTATGAATCTACTGTAGACTGAATTTGCATGACACATCACATGACGGCGGCCATGTTGGATAACAGCAGGAGTACAATTGTTTTACACGAGAAACAATTCTGCCATCTAATATGGCCACCGTCGTCACGTGATCATGCCAAATCTCTATTTTCGACTCAATATGCAAGAATCAATTCATTCGTTTTAATGCGGTTTTCGATATCCTGCGAACTCGGACATTTCAACGGTTGTCAAATTTTTGTTTTTACTGCCGCCAGTCAAGAACATCAAAGGTACCGACTGATTATTTTTTATTGACAGCACACACACAAAAAAAAACAAATTTCAGCATGCAGCTCGCAACCACCAAGTTCGCAGGATATGGAAAACCGCAGTCTCAGGCCCCGTCCAAACGTATCCGGAAATTTTTGTATCCGCAAATTTGTTTTTGCGGATACGGGTTGCGTCTACAATTGTCCGGAAATTTTTGTATCCGTATCCGGAAATTTTCGAAAACGGTCTCCAGAGTGGAAATTTTCGAATACGCTCCGAATACGGATACGTGTGGTCGTATCCGCAAATTTTCGAATACGCTGAAGTCACACCATCGGATCCAGTCTTCGTCGCGTCATAGAAACAAACATGGCGTATTCCAAAGTTGTAGATTTGCTTCTCGTTGTGCTTATTTCGAGCATGATTTCAGGCGTCCATTTGAATGCAGCTGTGATAAATTTGCAATCTCAGTATATGAGAAGCTATTTGCTCCGCCTTTAGTCACGCTCAAGAGGAGCTCCACTTCGTCCAAGCGATTCGAATACGCTGCRAGTGGACGCGAACATTTTCGTATCCGMAAAAAAAAATTGCGGGTACAAAACTTTCCGGATACGTGTGGACAGGCCTCATCAGTCGTTATATCAAACTAGCTCAGTCTATCGCCCACGTATTGGGTGTAACCTCAACACCAAACACTGATAACACCGACAACAGTTAGTTGTGCACCGATAACAGTTAGTTGTGCAAGTAAAAAATTTTAAACTAAATTTTTACAATAGTTCCTTAACTAAAACTAAGCATTTTCACATTCGTAAAGACCCATTTTCATCCACTATCCTTTGCGTACCGTGGGAAATTTACTCAAACACTACAAATATACCTTACCTTTTTGTATTCTGCATTTATTCACCAGAAATTTTCAAGGCTATCTTGGTTTAAATTGTTGAAGATCGAAACTTCTAAGTTAACCAAAGCAAAAGAAATTGAATGAAAATAAGCCACGACTCAATAGACCTCCTCGGCTCTGGAGCGCTCGACCGTAATGTTGTCCCATTTCAAACCACGTGTCATTCCCTTGAGAATGATATTCTTTGCTTGAGATGTATCCATATTCATGTGTCTTCTCATGTGCAACCGAGCGCAATCCTTAAACAAAGAAATGATACTCTAGGAAATGACACACGTGGTCTGAAATAGGACAACATTACGTCTGAGCCGAGGAGGTCTATCATAAAACTGAAAACTTGTATCTAATCGAAGGATTTAAAATTATCTATCATTAGATTACTCATAATGTAAATGGAGAAGCCTTGCTGATAATCTTAAGTAAGTTTGAGAACCCAAGGAATAGAGCAGATAACTATTTATCAAAACACCATGCCGCAATACCATTCACCAAGCAATAAAAATGAAACGGCGTTGTTTCGAAATGGCAAAGCACCATCTTAGTTAATCCACCCTCTGTCAATCAAAATTTATGTCGGAATAAAAACCTTAAATTACTAACTTCCAACTCACTACCATTGATTTCATATTTAATCGCATTTCCGAAACAATGACTACCCGACAAGTTGAGAACTTTCACGTCCAAACATATCCTAAACTGTTCTTCTGTTCTTATTATATCTTCCTACTGTGCGCATGCACTAAATGAGCTACGTTTATGATTTACTGAAGAACAATAATTGTACATAATTACTACGCATACTGCCCTAAGCCATGAAATGAGGATTGAAGATGTCGATGTCTAATATTTCAATGAATAATAATAATATTTCGACAGATCAACTGCCATCTTCAGTTAGAGGTCAGGAGGAAAACAGCGAGTTTGTTCAGAAAACTGACGTTTATCTCAGTGAAAGGCAAAACATTCTTTCAGCCGAGTTGACCTTCAAACACAAGCCAAGATCAACTAATCATATTGGACAATTTCACAGATTTTTCGCTATAAATCTCTTTCGAATACTACCACCAGCAGTCCCATACGTTACTGAACCATTTTATAGTCGGACTCGACAATTTCGCCAGTGTCCTCTTCTTTCCTCCTCATCTGCCCCCTCCCCCACTCCCCCAGTAGCTATAATTGCAACTCCAACCATTTTATTATCAAATATCATGGGACAGTAATACGAGTAGTAAGCGGTATAGACCCATCCCACCAAAACCGCWGGATTAGGCACAACACTATGTAAACATCCGGCAGCTCAAGCCGTTTCATGCTGCGACGTCGAAAGTCATCCGAATCATCGCTCAGCTTTGCACGTAACCTCATGCCGTCCAAGACTGCACTTATCATAAAATAGCGAATACAGTAAATTGAAATTTTTTCTATTTTACAGTAGCGCTGTTCTACTTGATTGCTCGTGATTTTTTTGCACTATCAACTAGGTGGTAGTCTCCCTCGCAGCCGTTTATAGTCTCACTCCATTCCCCTACAGTCCACATCTCTACCCAAAAACGGCTGCTCACCCGAGTTGAACAACCCTTTCCGGGAAGAAGGTTTCCATATTTTGGAAACCTTGATCACAGCTGGAAACAAGGCTTAACAAATCACCTCTCTTTTCAGATTGTCGACGGTAGGTGTCAAACGGTCATCAAACGCAAGAGTGATCTTCGTAGCGGGCCACCAACAGAGTTCTTGAAACACGCTAACTCGACATTTATTGCCTTTGCTTAATTCACTTTCTCGAAATTTTACTCTGAATTTCAACCCAGAAATTAAAAGAGTATGCTAGGTAGACTAGAAGTATAGAAAGTTTTATAATTACTTGACAAAAACCTCAAAACTAAACGTCACGCTTCGATCTAGTCTAGACCTTCTCCCATTGGTTTCCATCCGTTTACAAAAACAATGAGAAAGGAATGTTCAACTGGAGTGAGAAACCGTTTGTGGGGAGAGAAATGAACCGTAGGGGAATGGAGCGAGACTACAAACTACAAAGTTTCTTTGTATTTTAGAATGAATGATTAGAAACCAAGTGTGGAAACGACAGGAATAGTTATTAAGATATATACGTATACGGTGCACCATAAAGTCTCTAGCTTTTTGTCTGTTGTATCTTTTGCGAGAGTCCTTACCGAGTACACTTTGTACTGATTCATGATGTGAATAACTAGTTAGATATTCTTATTTTTTCAAGAAATGAAGTCATTTGAAATATTTTGTTACAATATAAAACTTTTAGCTGAAACTTGGGAACATGCAATGACGTCGCACGTCATATACCCGGCGACCGTGAAAATTCCCATGGCAAGAAAGTTTCCCAAGAGGGCAGACGAGAGCAAGAAGCCAGCATTGACAACAGCCAAACCACGACAGGCCACGGACAAGTCGGCGGGCACATCAACGTGCACCAAAAGTCAGAGACCGATAAGGTGGTTTATCACCCTAGCAATTGAAGTCTTTTTCGTGAGATAAGTTTGACAAGATCGTTAGTGAAACGTGTTTCGCAACGCTTGTTGCATGTAAATTTCAGCTAAAAGTCTCATCGAGTATAAGAACCTAAGAACACAACATAACACTTTGGGTTCACTCAGTGATACCTATATGAAGTGGACCCCTTGAGCGGACCAGACGCAAGGTCCCGAAGGTGTCTGCTTCATACAGATACCACTGTAGTATTTCAACTAAGAACTCTAGACAATTCAAGTACTATGAATAACTTTAGACATTCACTAAAACATGTTTTATCTACATTAAACGCTCACCCTTGCACAAGCTTGAATCTTTGCTTTTGGTTCTTCCTTCGTATTTTCGTCATAATCAGAATCTTCCTCATTCTTTACAGCTGCTTCGGATTTCGACCTTTTTCTAGATTTTATATTGTGATACCGACCTTTTGGAATTTCTTCTACCTTTCGTTTGCTTCCTTCTTCAACTTCCCCATTCATTTTGTTAGAATGCGCTGACTTCTCTTTGACTGCAGAGTGCAGATTTTCAGTGGATGGGCAGTCATCTTGCCCACCAACAACATCTATTTCAATATCTTGATCAATGTCTTCTTCATCGATGCTTAAACCTTCATCAGTGTCGGTTTTCTCATCTTCATTGTCGTCGAACGTTGATAACTTATGTTCGGATTCATCCCCTTCTCCACCAGTGTCGGTGCTGCTTGTACTAATGCGTGTAGTGGACACTTCGTCGTCCTCTTCATTCACTGAGGTTCCTAACTGACTACTGGATGGAGTTTGGGTTGCAACAGAGATTGGCAAGGTTCTGCTCTCTCCTGTTGTTTTAGCAGCAGCAGTAGTTGCAGAGAGAGTTTGAACAGATGATGAAGACGCTTGCGATACCTCAGAGTCAATCGTTTCACTACTGGAAGACTTTTGTTCTGTCTTTATCTTTGTATTTGATTTCAGCGCATTCAGACGTTCCTCAAGTGATTTTTGGTTCATCTTCAAAGCATCGCATTCCGTGGCATATTCTTGTTCCTGCTTCTTCATATTCTGTAGAAAAAACATATAAACCAACCAACAATATATTAAATAATGATAGATGAGACGGTAAGCTGTGTGGAATGGGCTCGGAAATCATATAAGAACATGAGTAATTGAAGAAATAGAAAACGCGCGCGCGTGCTGTGTGCTGTCATRAAGCACGCGGGGGTTGGCAGAACACGAGAGAAGTGTTAGGAGAAGTACGACGCGTAGCGGAGTGTTTCTGGACACTTCTCGAGTGTTCTGCCAATCCCCAAGTGCTTTATGACTGCACACAACACAGCAAGCAAGTTTTTTATTTCTTTTATAAAATACAAATTACAATAATAGATAGGAATGACGCAACGGAAAGTGCGCGCGCGTGCAATGTGCTTTCATAAAGCACGCGCTCCAAACCAATCAGAACGCGACATTCATAACAGTTATTTTATAAAGGTAATTAGTACAGACCGAAACAGCTGTCCACGGTTTCTAGTTGAGCTGGCTCATTTTTTACGGGACTTGAAGTGTTGAAAGGCCCATTGGCACTCTTCTTCAGTCCTTTCATACAAGGCTCGTAATTTACCTATTACGCATGCTCTTATATATTAAATAGTGTGGCAATAACAATAACAAAACCGTGAAGCTTTTCGCACAATACTACAATGACAGTTTCAAAGTATATTATTTATATAGCCCCTAATAGTCACTGAAGTAGCCTGTGTAGCGGCACTTTGGGGAGGGAGGATGAGAATGTGGGTACAAAAAAAGATTACTTGGATTATAACTTTTTCTGAGTATAACTCTCATTCATCTCCCCTTTTCTCTAAGCTAAATATAATCAAATTTATTGACCTAATTTTTATTCATAACGCTTTATTTATGTACGATTTTCATACTAATAGTTTACCTCGTCCTTTTAATGATTTTTTTATTAGCATAGCTGTGCTCGTGTTTTTGTAATTTTAAATTTATGTTTCATGTAATTCTTTCCTTCTTGAGTGCAAATAAACTATTGTTGTTGAAAGAGAAGGGAGTGCYGGCCTGCTGTGAATACCCCACATTCCTCAAAATTTCACATTCCTATCATGAATGTAAAATTCCCAGGCGCTCCCTTCTCTTCCATTGTCCTCAGTCCCCCTCCCAGAAGCACAGATATGGAGTCTATTGTTTAGTTTCCTACACAGCTGCTATTAGTGTAATATCACCCAATGCTCACTCCTCTAAGATGGCACTAATGGACACTAAGACTAGCTATCACTGAGATGAGATATATGACACACTGTTGAAACACTAAAATTACTTAAATATGAGAGAATAAAAAGGTTGTACATCTAACCTCAAATAATATAACAAGAGAAAAATTATTTGAAGGGAATTCTTAGTTTTGGTGAATAATAGGATTGTGTATACACTCTTCCAAGCCTAAACAATCCAAAAACTCATTTTTTGAGCCCTCAAACAATGTCTAAGCTGATCTAAGACAGGGCACAGCAAACTCACCAATGAATTTTAATTTACTGGATTTTTTGGAGGGAGGAAAACCCAGACATGTAATCAAAACCTTTGTTTACAAAGTTTGTCAGCATATCCATCCCACAAGACTTTGCAACATCTATTTCAATTGAGTAACRCTGAAAACGCTATTAAATCCAAAACTGCTCCTGAGCCTATATAGCACTACTACAACTACTACTATACTACTACTGTCATGGTTCATAATTTACCAAAATACTTCCAGGTAATTCACTTATTGAGCACCAAGCAGCTATGCTTCTGCTTTGTTTTAAGAAATTGTTTTTCCAAACAAAAGCAGACTGAAGATCACCCAGAGCTCTAATCTTTACTTTTTAGCTTTAAGTAAATTTTCTTAGGTGATCCCTTGATTTGCTATCTGGTTGCCAGAACAGTGTGCCAGAGAGATTATATTTTAATGAGGGTCTAGTGCAAAACCTATGCTAACAGGCTAAATTCCAGCTGTGAATTAAAGCCTTGCCCTGACTTGGATCAGCCCAGAGGTTGCTTCAGGGTATGGACAAAACTTAAAGTTTAATTTTCATATGTTTGTAAGAGAGTAAACATACTCTAAAGCATTAATGAATCTATGCTGAAGGTCAAGTAACAGAAGACTAACAGTAGTGTATTTAATTAAAGACAGATCTGAAGGTCATGCAATTATAAAAATCCAATAAAACATGTTGTGTTATTCTTAATATCTCAAACGAGAACAAAGTGTGCAGTTATATCCATTACCTTTGAATATAATRAATTCCATATGACTTACATTATGAAAAATGCCTTTGGCTAAAAATCCTAAAAGTAAAAATCTTTGCAAATGGAGTTTAAAAATAGGAGAAGGATGTGATCTTCATTATGATGGACCAAACCAAAAATAAAGCCCTCTGTTTATAAAACAACACACATATCATTTAATCTAATGAGGGCTATATTCTAATCCTTGCACCTTGCTATATCCTATCTCGATCACAAAACTCATAAGTTTTTGAAAGAGCTAGCAGATCAAGAAATGTCATGCAGGAAATCAATCATCAAACTTATAGACAAACAATATTTTATTACTGTACTGATTAAATTGGTTTTCAATCTAATATTCTATATTTTCTCTTTGGCAATCAAATAAATAAAAAAACAATCTGAAGCCTAGCATTTCTAAGAAAAGGCAATAAAAGTACTGTCTGCAGTTTTTGAAGTGGAAAATTTCTTTAAGATTCAGAATAAAGATCAACACTCATAATTTATAAAATTAATTTTGTATATTGAGGATGAAAAAAAGTCAAGTTCAGGGTTAAGAGTAGAGCAAATGCGCCTGCAGGCTAGTTATCCAGAAAAAAATAACAGACAATTAACATATAAATATAAACCAGATCTTGCATCATATATCCAAATTAATGTAAGATGCACTCATTGGATCTGAATTTTAAATATTGCTTAAAAAGATTATCTCTGGATTTTTTAGTACTGCACTCATTGAATATAAATTTTAAAATATCTATTGGTTTCAAACAGATGTGGGTTTGCTGTGTGAAAGCTGCACTTAATTATTGGTTATGAATTTAAAAATAGATTCATGGGTTTAAAAAAGATGTGGATTTGAAAGCAAAAACTACCATCATTAAATATGAATTTTAGAATTTTCATTTTAAAAAATATTGATTTTCTATTCATTGCAAAGCTGTGAATTCAATTACATCATCTAAATTTGATTTATTAACACTATAAGGGTATTATAATATTATAAATACAGCAAATAATCACATGGATGTGACAACTTCCCCATTTTCATCCAAATAATTTGCAGTAATAATTGTTTTCTTTCCACACTTGTGATTTCTAAGGCGAGATTATACTAAGCAACTTTCTCTGCCATTTGTGCTGCAACAGTATTGCRACACAAGTTGCATGGAGTATTGCAGTGTGTAACCTACAGCACAATTTGAAAATTTTCAAAAAATCGAAAAACATTTTTTCAAAAAAATTGAAAARCCCTKTTGCGAGACAAGTTGCAGAGTTGTAAATGTGACTTTAAATTCATTCATTTTTCTCCAAAATTATGAATATTGTCTAAACATAATTTCACCTTTTAATAATAATTTATTACTGTTAATCAATAAGAAACAATGAATACTTACCTCCAAAGATTTGGTACTATATTTTTAATGATTTAAAAATCAAGGTAAGTTAAAAGAAACCAAATATAAGATAAGCTTAATATATATACCAAATGTTGCCTTTAAAATAAATCATTGAAAAAATTTTCAACCTTGCTGGGTTCCTGATTATATTTTTCACATCTAAAGAAAAATAATTTATTCAAATATTAAATTCAAAATCACTTTACTATTATTTYAATCCTTGTGTTACTTTGGTCATCACTTTAAACAAACCGTAAATGTGTGGTAGATATTTATCTTAATGAATTGGTTTGGAGGTTTTTAGTAAACTGATATTTATCACATGAAACTGTCAAAAGTCCAAATCCTCTGCTACACTTTTTGAATTTTTTTACAATAGAATGATTAAAAAAAATCTGTAATAAAAAAAAGCCTGATCCAGAAAAGCATGAATAACCAAAACTAAATCCTAAGAACAAATAATTCTAGGAATTAAGCTTTCGAAACAGCTGAAAGTGTGCATGGATAATCTCCCATTACGATTGGCTCATAACACAATCACCTGATAGTACAAATGTGGTTTGCTTTCTAACGCCTATGAAATAGGCATTCTTGACCTTTAAAATTCTTAAACCTCATTGGTACTATCTTTACTACTAGATYTTTTGCACAATCGCTTTAAAACTTCTGGGGGTTTGAAGCGTACATCAGAACCATTTAACTAAGTTAATGGAATCTCTACATACACTGGTACAAATATCATATCAATCGCCACTAAATACATAGACTACACACATATACAAAGTTAGCTGCCTATATAATATCTGAGACCACAAAGTATTTTTTTCAGCTGCACTAGTATGGATAAGAAAAGCTAGAACGTAAAAATGCTGTCAAACAATCACGATAAATAGTGGAATGTTATACCAAACAAGGAGTCGGGCAAGTCTTAACTTGTTCAAGCCTATCGCACTGAAATTTCTACATATTCATGATCTAACAAAACTTACTTGGATATATTTTAATGCACCTCTTAGGATGTTCAGATTTGAAGTCTTTTTCTCTTCAAGGCTTGGAACTTGTTTCTTCAGGATATCGAAGCACTCTTTGAGATGAGCTCGCCTGGCGTTCGAAACAAACCTATGTAAATAAATTCTCCCGCAGAGAAAGAAGCTTTGGACCAAACATGTCAGTCAAAAAAAATTTTTTCTCTGCTATATTAGCTTTGGATACAAATGATTTCAGCAACTACTTGAGTTTAGGATTAAAGTTTATAGTTGCCAGTATAGATGTGGCCTATTAAGCTGCATAATTCGAAATAATACTTAAGTTTTTGTCGACAAAAACTTCATGACAAAGATCAAAGCGAAGAGATCTTTTGGCACAGAAATCAACAGCAGCAACTTGCCAGCTCACTGTGACATCAAGTAATTCACACAAAATATACCTTTATTTTGACGCTTAGATCACATTTAAGAAACACTAACCTGTTCTTTTCCAGTTTATTATGTGTCTCCCTTGTGCCAGCACTAGTAAAAGTAGTAAAAAAGTAAGATCGCAGCGAACAGTAAACATCGACGAACAACCACCTCGAAAAAGTACAAACTTCACTAACCCTCCTGGCCGTCTTCTTCGCTCAGCGGCCTCAGATTCGGAGACAACTCGTCTTCTGTCTGCATAGACATTATTAGGATGATTCCCTATGGTTTAACACAAAAAAATCAAGGCGATACATAAGAAATTTGTCATCGATGAACGAAGGTTCAGTTCAAAACAACATCTGCTAAATTGCACATGGCTACTGATCGTACCACGTGCATTCGAGAGATTTTCCTTCTTTTTCGGACCTGAAGACAATTCTACGAACTCAGCTGCTTTGAGAAGTGTGTCCAAACTCATAACTCTAATCCTGAAAGATCCAGGTTTTCCTTTAGATAGCGTGAGATCGATTTTACACTAGGATTTTACATCCCACTAGGCCATGTGTATGCCTYCCCCAATAACAACAAACCCCAACAAAGCTTGCGCTGCAAGCGTGCAGGAACGTTTGATCATTGTTTGACGATTGATTGACAATCCCCTTTTCTTTCAACCAATCACAAGTGAGAAAACCCAGTGCAACGTCAAAATTTTCAACCCACGTGGCTAGCCATGTGAGCTTGCTTGCATATGTGGCAAACTAACAGAAAAGGCGTTGGGAGGGGCAGAATTTAACGTAATGATGTAAGTTTAGAAGCAAAATTTTCACTCAAATTTAGGAATGGAGCAATCTCCAAAAGACCCCGGGGCTTTCCCTTGATTTTCAGCTTGTAATAATTTCGTGATCGTCCACGTAACGTGATACAAGAAAACCGAATACATAAGTTCAGCTTGAAGGAAATACGCGTCATTAGAACGAAATTTCATACCCCACTTGCCGTCGTTGCTCAAGCGTTATTATTATCTTAATTTGGTAAATATCGTAGGCCGTAGTCTACTGTCACTGAGCCGTAAACAATACATCCTTGGAGGTGTGTCGGGCTAGAGCCACTAGACGTAAGACTAGGCTCGTGATCGTTGTGTGACCTTGGAATGAAGGTGAACACAGGAAACCCACAATAAGTGCTCATCCAACCTCCTATTTTGTGGATTCTTGGTCATATATTAAGGCCAGATTATATGCTATCTTCATTGTATGAATTATGAGAGGGAGATGCGGTAGTGTTGACTTCTGATGAGTTTTAAGTGGAGCTGTCAATAAATATGCATTCTTGAGACTGTGGAAACCAACGCCACTAAAAATCAAATCTTTTCGTTCTAGTAATATGGATATTTATTCGTTTTAAAATATTTTTTAAAGATAGTCTTAATAAAAAGGAGCAAAATTATACGCAAGACTCCTTTATAGCCCCCTCCCCTCCCTTACATAAAAACTATGCGGAACTTGCAATGAATCGTGGGTAATATATGTATTGGTTCTCAGTGCAAACCACCTGTCTAGCAACCACATATACTTTCTACCTATTCCATAGCTGTAATCAAAACTAAACAAAGCTTTTGAGGTAAAGAAGCTGTAAGGGAACGTATATTTATTGATTTTGAATCCTTACAAAGTGTACTTTTTATGTTAATTTGTTTGTTTTTGAACGCAAATAGTCCATAACACGGTCGAACAAGTCATGATGTGTATACCTAAAGTCTCTTTTTTACTCGTGTGGCTTTGTTTGATAATTGTTTTGGATTCCCTGACAGTTTTCTAATTCTTCCTTGTCTGTTATTCTTGTAGTTTAAAGCTGCAGCGATGCTTGAGTGTAAATGTATAAAAAACCTCGTCGGCTTTGCTGCTAGCAGGCCTCCTTTTGTGATATTCACTTTATGCTTAGCTATTTTTGCTGCCGGATTATTTTCCATTGGTTATTATGTACAGTCTTATGGCTATGAAGGAGCTGAAATGTCGGTAAGTTTTTTCTTTGTCGATATTAGGCACAATATTTATGTTTTACGATTTAAATTATAGTTGTGTATAAGTGTTTGTTAGGTTGAAAGTCGTTAAGTGTGACTGCTGCTAGCGATGAAACATCGATATACAAATTTACTTATATTTTCGTTATTTCCTGTAAAGATCAAAACAAAATATCTCTATCTCACTGAACCCCTAAATTTTATTACAATAAGCTTATTTTTCTTACATGTAGGTTAGTAGTTTTGTTATTTCCATGTATGCAAAGATCAAAACGAAATATCCCTATCATACTTAACCCCTAAATTGAATTATAATAAGCTTATTTGTTTAGGTTTGTACATTCGTTATAAGTTTCATAGTTTCTTGGAATATCAAATATAATGAACCCAATTCAAGGAAGGATAGCTTTGCACCATCAAGTATTGACAGCCATGATTGACACGAGGCACAACAATAGAGCCTTTAAATTTAAATTATTAGGATGGGACCATTAATTTATAGGTTGTTGGAGCCGTGTATGGTATAGTGGATTACCGCTCACCTCTTGCCAAACTCTGAATTTAGTTTGTTTGATGTGTTGTTCTCTCCCTAATGCCACAAGGGTTTTCTTCATGTTCTCTTGTTTCCTCCCTCTGTAAAAATCAACATGTGAGTTGAGTATTGAATACTGTAAATATAGAAAGTAATGGTAGTACATGCAGAGGAAACCTCAAAGAAGAGAGCCCCATATGGGGAGTGGTGGTAGTAAAATATAAGTAAATAAGCATAAGTATATAAGTGGCTATGGGGACTTGTGGGGGCAGCTTTTATTTCCTGGCAACTCTTTATAGTGGGGCTATTAAATAATTATAAGTACTTATAAACATTAATCTCCTGTAAAATTTAAAATAAGCACCACCATAAGAGCCAGACAGAAACATGTATTTTGAAAGTTTCAGTGAAGTTATTTAAAGTGAAATTACAGAGATTTGTATGTATTCATTGGAGGGTGGGTTAATAAAGGCCGGGGGGTTATTTAGTCTTCGATGCCTTAGACTGTGGGCTTATTATAAGAGGGGACTTATGAGAGGCTGAGGACTTGATAGCAGAATTATAGTAGATATACTCTGACGCTAAGGAGCTTCCAATATTAATGGATTGATACTACATGTATACCCCAAATGCAATTTAATAGCCATCACTTCATTATCATAATTTTTTAAATTCATACTTAATTTGAGTCATAGATTAGAATGTTATAAACAAAGTTAGAATGTTTGAGATAAAAATATTAAATTCTTATAAAGAAGTTATTAGAATTTTAGCATGTAAAACACCAGAAACTAAATTTGAAATAAAATTTAAAACACCAGAATGAAGCTAGGCAGTCTTCAGTTCACTAAACCATAGTTAGCCTAGCACATTAGACCCTTAACAAAAACTAATTTATGCTAATTGTTTTCTTGCAGCAATGGAAAACACTCATAAAACATGTGTCTGACAAAGAGTTTTGTATGTATGGTAATAACATGTCCACCCAAGTCAATACCACCAACACTACCATTCAGTCAACACCAAGCAGTCTAAATCTTGTCCAAGTCAACCTCCCTGTTGTTCTCAGATTTTCCCCAAACAGCCTCTTCTTTGGCAGTGTCCAAAACATTTCTCATGTAACTACAGTAGTCCAAGGATCTGAGCTTGGTCTTAGAGGTGAAATGGCTTCGCAGTTGGTTAACTTTACCTTCTCATTGGAAAAGCCATGGTCTCAGTCCTGTGGTAACCAAAAGTGCCAGGGTTCGGTATTTAGTACTTGTGTATCAGCTTTGCTTCCAGAAGGAATGATTCCTAAAGATATGTAAGTATCATAATAACGCATGCAGTAAATTTCTTACACGACTACTGACAAGATAAATTAAAGACCTTTAGCATGTGAACATCCTTGCTAGGTACCACAAACCTCAAACTGCAGTTCAACGTCAGGCGCTTCCTGTCAAATTTTGGACATTTAGCAAGGCCTCATGACAAAGTTGTTGCTGGAAGATCTGCCATATTGAATTTCATTGATGCTGAATGTTTATTCATGTTTGTGGGCGTGTTTCAGGGTCTGATTGCTACTGGTTAGAGGTTAGCTGTTAGCAGTAAACTTGATGCTAAGGTCTCTAATGGTAAAGATGAAACCCCTAAATTGGTATTCGTTTGAGTACCATTATGTATGAAAAGGATGTTGGTAATAATTAAGTTAATGGTGGCTGTAGCTGATATTTTACTAACACTAATTTTAGGTATTAGTCTTTAGTATTACCTACTGATAAATTAAGTAATTGATTTAGTAATGTGGAGTTTTAAATATCTCTACGGTACTTTCAGAGTTTTTTTAATTAAAATGTATCTTTGAAATCTTTTTTTTAATTACAGTCCACATTATTATTGCAATGCCACAAGGTTGCAAAACATGGCATTAATGGTGACCTCAAACCATTGTGGCAAGTACTGTTGCATAGATGGAATCACTGCAAAAGCCTTATTCCTTAGGTATTTTCAGTCACAGCCCAATCTGGAGGGTCCGTCGGAAATGGGACTAGTAAGTCATACAAAATGATTATAATTATAATTATTATAATGATAATAGTATAGCATATCCTAAATTTACTAAATAATTATTTAGTATTTGTTTCACAGGGTATTGTTTAGCTCCAAATTTATTATCCTTGGCTATTGTATTGTCTTCATGCTTCAGGTGCCTTGCAACACCAAGAAAGAGCCATTATTTTTTATTGACAACAGCAGAAAACAAATTTCAGATTGCTTTGTGAGTTCACACGTTATATAATTGAAAACTGAGTCAATGCTCCAAACACTCATTACTCAACTTGGAGTTTGCTGCAGGGTTCTCATTATTTGTCTTGTCTTTTCTTGTGGATTCACAGAATGATTGGGATACAGTGAATCTTCGATTACAGTACTCAAGCTATTTCTTGTTTGTGATGGCAATTACATGTATCTTGTACGGAATGATCAGAGGACGGTCAGTGAAATCAGTATCCAAAAAGGCAAATGGTCAAACAATCTAAGAAGAAACCTTCCATGCATAAACTAAACATGGACAACTTAACATTAAAGGATCCTGCCATTAATCCAACATACAGTATATAATGAATGAAAGATTGAATGACTGAATGAAAGAATGATAATCTTATGGTCACAGTAAACTAACTGATAATGAAAAAGGGCATGGATAATAGGTATAATTTATTAGCAGCACCAAATAGGCCAGAAAACCTAACAGACCAAAGCTCCACTTACAGGGATCCAATGGATTTATGAGGTGGTTATTTTGGTTATTTAGTATGAGGCATAAAGGCAGTGAGGGTGTCCACTGCCAGGGGTTCCTTACATTTTCATGATGAAGTGTGAAGAGATGGGACCACCATTTAATGTAGTTATATTATAAACAGATAAAAAGTTGGTGTAAAAAACCTAGGAATGAGAATGTTGACTTATTTATAGTACTTGAAGAGGATTTCACACTTGCCACTTGCAAAGCTAAAAGTAATTTTATGTGATAAGTCTTCCTGTAAACTGTTTCTATAATTACATGGCCCAGATACCTTGCTAAAATTTGAGACACCTTGGTATTTTTGTTCGGCCTAAAATTTTCAATCTCCTCCTTGTCTTCAAGGCATGGTTTCCACTCAAAGATATTTTCTAATAGCTCTATTATGTCCCGATGAGGATGTCATCCTCAAAGAAAGCAAACATGGAAATGACCAGGAAACAAACATGTTTTGTAGATAGAAGGTATAGATACCACGTAGTGTAGCACTTAAAAGTTTATTTTTGTGGAGGGAGGAAAACTGGAAAAAACCCCTCGGAGCACAGGAGAAAACCAACAAACAACTAAACTTGATGTAGATGTTTTTGTGTGGCCTGGAGCCCTCTTGAGCCTAATTAATTTAATAACTTTTCCCTCCTTAAATCCCCCTCCCCCCATCTCAGTAAAAAAATGAAAAACACCATGGGTGCCTTCAGAGTCTGAAGGAAGTTCAAATAATGATGTGTGAAACAAACTAAAACAATCCACTGTTTTTGAAAACAGTTTTATTCTTACAAATACAAATAAATTCAGTTCCACAAAAGAAATGGTTTTAATGATTCTTTACAGGACAGTGTAATGTGTATTTTAATTGCATAGACTAGTAAAGTCGAGGTAAATTACATTGCAACATTAATTTTAAATATCTAATTTCAATATAAGATAAAGACAGCTTGGCTAAATTGACCTTTTCCGAGTTTGCTTTGCTGACCCATTGAGTGACTTTGAAACATGTCTCAAAGTTGGAATAGATGAAATGCAGTAAACGTAGACTTGGAGCCGTCGTTTTGTGGTCATTCCAGTAAAATGGAGGAAGGAATCTATATCACCTTCACGGAGGGTATTTCAGCAATACTGAGAGCCCTGTGGGTGGACCAATTCATGACACCATCTGCAACCCAGTGTATGATCTTAGAAGCATGGAAAATAAGCTGTACCTCCAAAAACCCTGAACACTATCTGAAACCTAGTTTTAGTTATTGTGGAGCAGCTTTATGGAACAGTCCCTTCCATTGTTTAGACAGGCTCGCATGGCAATCATGGAAAACAGTATTTTTTTATTATGATTTATATGTTTACTGATGATTTTACTGTGTCTAAATAAACTCACATATGCACGTCTCATGATTGTGGCAGTTGGGAGGACCACAATGTTTCAACTGCTACTGCTAGTCTTTATCAAGAGATGGTGTCCACTGGAAGGTGGTCTTCTTATATACCGTCAGTCTGGCTTACTTGAGGATTGAGCCGGGGCTGTGATTGGATGTGGGTAGTAAGAGTGACAGAGTGCTTTCACCCCCACCACCAGTAACCAATGACAGCCCCATCGCAATCCTTGTGAGACATATGAATAAGTATAATCTTTGATTATTCAATTATTGGTTAAAATGCAAATTTAGATGACAGATAAATTGCTCACATTTGTTTATCAGTTCACTCTGAATATATTGTCACTTTAATACAATTTTTTTTGTGAATTCATGCTTTAGATTGTAGCTTCTTATGCTTCTCTCCTGGTCTATCAAGCATATTCACCCATCCCATGGGTCCCATGTGTTTAAATCAGAGAGTACCTAAAACAAAAATTGCTTTATGAATTGAGAATCTGGCATTGTCTCATGGTCTTTGAAGCCGGTGAGGCCTATTTACATCATTAATTTGGCTTTATTAAATATGTTAGGTAGTGCAGTATATAAGTCAAAAGTTAATTATTAATATTCAATGATTTCAAAAAAGGTAAATAGAAAAACATAGATTTCATTCTCTGGTAATTATACCAAAGCGTACATTTGAACAGCCTCTGAGCGAGCTGATCAAAAGTTGAAGAATTTCACATCATTAAACAATCCATAGGAGATACATGTTATGGGATAGGATTGGATAGGATGGGATAAGGTGATGGGTCATTCCAAGACTGAAAGGGTCATGAGTTTACTTGATTTGCCAATTTGTAACTAAACCAGCCCCACAAGACAAGGATATTCTCATTTTCTCTGAAAAAACCATTGAGCTCAAGCAGTATTCCACATAATATAACATAGCTGGAATAACTGTTGCCTATTATTATACTCGTCAAGAACATGGATGTTTATAATGAGATATTCAGTGTTACTTACAGTTGCTGAATCTCAATTATTTCTCAGTGTTTACTGGTAGTTGTAAGCAAATAATTCCTTTTAGTGTTGGAATGACCTACCACCTAATCTCCTTTTGTTCCCACAATCATTTTCATGAAAATTAGGGCTATACTATCTCATACTTTGGTAAGATAAAAGAGCTTGGTATTAGGGAATACCAGAAGCATGTTATGTGGTGAAGTTATTCTAGTTATGTTTTCCATTGGTAGCAAATATCCTCTCAAAAGTTTGGGACATTCAATAATTGTATCAAATTTCATAAATTGATTGTCAGTTCATTTCAAACTTTATGACTGAGTCTAAAATTCTCCTGAGTATTATTACCTTTCTACTTATATTTCAACATCTGACATCATTTTTACTTAATGAAAAGATTAATACAACAAGTTCATATTTTGTGATTTTTCAGTCATTGGACAATCGTATAAATCTAGTGATTCCATTGGGTAAGGGTCCTGATACATTGCACACAACGTCTCCTGTTTTTTGTAGTTCTTCAAGGCGCAATGAAACTGGAATCCACTCTTTGTTATCCTTAGAGAACTCCAGATCAAGTATCCCTGTCTGCTTAGGACCAGCCACTATACATGACACACACCAACCAACAATTCCATTTTCATTTTCCTTTTTATTTTCATCCAGTATTTCAGAATCTTGAATTATTTCACTTGAACCTTTCTTGAGCTCAGCCGAATCAAAATGAGGATATTTATTCGAGAATCTACAAGAAGAGCACTTTCCTTGGTAGCCTATTAAATCCACAGGTTCACCAAACTTCTTTAACACTCCTTCTTCAAGCTTGAGTTTGTTCCATATTTTCATTAACGCCGAAGACTTATCACTAATTTCTATTGCTCTGGAATCATGTTCAGCATCTCTGGATACATCAAAGACAGAAAACAGACGCTCATCGTGGCGAACGTGTTCACTCTCCTCTCGTTCTTCCACTTCTACTTTTATCAGTCCAGTTTTAAATCCAATATACAGTACAGCAGGCAAACCCCACACTATTCCACCGGTTACCATAAACAACACTCTTAAAATTTTCCAAAGTTTTTGTCTCAAGACTCCTTTTGAATCAGCCCCTGATGCTAAGAATCTAACGTTCCCTGGGATCGTTAATAATTTAGAGTTCTGCTTCAAAGAAAATCGTGTTGAGACGCCAACATCCTGTTTAGTAACAACTTGGCTTCTTCTAGAAACAATCGTAGATATTCCTCGCGATCGAGCTCTTACGAATGATCCGATCTTAAAATAATGAAGCAATCCTCTTCTTAGATAACTGGACATGTTGAAGAGAGTATTCCCAAGGCGGATTCAACAGCAAATAACGAGTTTATAAACGAAGTCTACTTTCAGTTTCACTTCTGGTGATTGTGTGAGCCTTTGATTGGTTCGGTCAGCAGAAAGTCACATGAGAATCAGATCCAAGATGGCGACAACTCAGTCTAATTTAACTAATGGTCGAATAAACGTGGGTCTTCTACGAGAATGCAGCCGTAGAGAGCTTCTTGAGTGCTTGGACAAGCACCCTGGTAGTAAGGTAAGACATATTGTTTGGATTAGGCATAATAGAGCGGCATTTGTAATCAGTAATTCTGCCCTTAATGTCTCCATTCTTGGTTTGCAATCAATCCCAAGAGAGCACAATAACAAAAGGGATGTCCGCCATGTTGGAAGATATAACAAAAGAATTCATTGAAAAATCTTTCGTCAAATTCTTCCAACATGGCGGCTATGACGTCTATTGCAAACGAAGAATATTCGGAGGTGAAAATTATGAACCTTGTTTTTGTACAATGTAGGCTTTGGTTTGGGATGACAAACTGACTGGTCCCTTTGGACTGATTGCCGAATACCAACTTCTTAAGGTAGGCATGTCTATATACAAGCTTTCTTTAAAACATTCTGTTAACTGAAGCTTTAATAAGATTTAAGAAACTCATCAGTCATATCTTTTTATGACGTTCATCTCAAGGAAAGTTCAAAYGGAATCATTATGAAGCTTTCACTGTTCGACGCAGCAAGTGTTCAATGTCTGAACTGGACCCTTAGTGTGTGCATACTCTAGTAATTTCTTCAAACTACCTTTATCTTTTCGTGCAGGAACATGAAGTTGACAAGATGTTCCCTTTGCGTCCTGGTAAACTTCCTCCAAGTCAAGTGGTTAACATCATATTCATCACTAGACCTGTGCCATCACAGATGGATATTATTGCTGATAACATTCTAAAGTAAGGTGTACTCTTACTGAAATATGTATTATAGAACACCTCGAAACAGGGCAGATAAGCCATTGGATTCACTGTGTTAAGATTTGAGCATCTCAACTAGCCTAGATAAGAAAGCCCTCAACAACACTGTACTAACATCTGAGAACTTACCAACAACCTACTGGCAGCCTACTGTAGAAATCCCCTACTGACAACCTACCCAAACGCTATTAAAAAACCTACCAACACCCTACAGAGGCTGAGTCAACACCCCACAGACAACCCACCAACACCCTACTAACAACCCACCAACACCCCACCAACACCCTACAGACAACCTACCAACATCCTACAGACAACACCCCACTGACCACAAACCAACACCATACTGACAACCCACCAACACCCTACTGACAACCCACCAACACCCTACTGACCACCTACCAACACCCTACTGACAACCCACCAACACCCTACAGACAATCCACCAACACCCTACAGACAACCCACAAACACCCTACTGACAACCCACTAACACCCCTCCAACACCCTACTGACAACCCACCAATACCCTACTGACAACTCACCAACACCCTATTGACAACCCACAAACACCCTACAGACAACCCACCAATACCCTACTGACAACCCACCAACACCCCACTGACAACCCACCAACACCCTTTTGACAACCCACCAACACCTACTGACAACCCACCAACACCCCACTGACAACCCACCAACATCATACTGACAACCCACCAACACCATACTGACAACCCACCAACACCATACTGACAACCCACCAACACCCCACTGACAACCCACCAACACCCCACTGACAACCCACCAACACCCTACTGACAACCCACCAACACCCAACTGACAACCCTAATACACCCTACTGACAACCCACCAACACCAAACTGACAACCCTAATACACCCTACTGACAACCCACCAACACCAAACTGACAACCCACCAACACACTACAGACAACCCACCAACACCCTAAATATTATCATTCAATCCTACACAACAATCTTCCCACAATGCAATAGCATCTTTTTGAATCAAAATTATCCTATTTTGCCCAAAAGATTTCCTTCTTTTACCCACCTGTATGAAAGTTAAACAATGAATTTTTTCTCCCTAAAGAGAAGAGGATAAAGGAATCAAGAAAGACTTCCATATCATGTTTGTCCCAAGAAAAACAATCCTATGTGAGAGACGATTGCAGGTAAGAAATGTCAATGACTTCTTGCATGCGACGTCAAAGCAGCTCAATTTGGAGGACGAAACAAAAGAATTTCAATCTCACGATACTTGTATACCTATTGTTATGTCCTCCTAATTGAGCTGCATTCCTACGTACTGCAAGGGGTCTATATTGTCAAAAGTCTATTTTTCATYACACTTGTTGGTACTGTCTTTAATATCTAGAGATTTAAAGATTTGGATGAAAGTGCTATACTGAAAAATATTATTTTACAATAATATTATCTGTGGAATTGTTTCACAATGTGTGCTTCTATTATAACTTGTATTGTAGGAGAGAGGTGTCTTATATGCAAACATTGAGGAGTACCCCTTAGATCTCATACCACTAGACAATGATTTGTTGTCCCTTGAGATGGATTCTTGTTTCAAGGTATGATAGTTAACCATTCATTTCATCCTGGATATAACTGATACCAAGTTCAGGATAGCACTTGCAGCACCAGCAAAAACAACATACACAGACCCAGTGCAGCTCTTTTCTACTATAAGCATCAGCAACATGCAGCTCTTCTCTAACAGGTGTGAGAAAAGACAACTGCTGTTAATAAGCAATGCACAAGTGAGTGTACAACACAGGTATAAGCATCACAACATACACAGACTCAGTGCAGCTCTTCTCTATCAGGTGTGACGAAAGACAACTGCTGTTAATGAGAAATGCACAACTGAGTCTACAACACCAGTATAAGCATCAGTAACATACACAGACTCAGTGCAGCTCTTCTCTAACAGATGTGAAGAAAGACAACTGCTGTTAATGAGAAATGCACAAGTGAGTCTACAACACCAGTATAAGCATCAGTAACATACACAGACTCAGTGCAGCTCTTCTCTAACAGATGTGAAGAAAGACAACTGCTGTTAGTGAGAAATGTACAACTGAGTCTACAACACCAGTATAAGCATCATCAACATACACAGACTCAGTGCAGTTCTTCTCTATCAGGTGTGAAGAAAGACAACTGCTGTTAGTGAGAAATGTACAAATGAGTCTACAACCAAGTATAAGCATCAGTAACATACACAGACTCAATGCAGCTCTTCTCTAACAGGTGTGAAGAAAGACAACTGCTGTTAATGAGAAATGCACAACTGAGTCTACAACACAAGTATAAGCATCACAACATACTCACAGACTCAGTGCAGCTTTTCTCTAACAGGTGTAAAGAAAGACAACTGCTGTTATCGAGAAATGCACAATGGAGTCTGCATATCTCACTTATGCTTGTGTTGCAAGTGTTAACCTTAGGATCCTTAGAATACCTATATTTGATTCTCCTTTTTAAGACCTCAATACTGTAGAACTATTCCCTACATCCACTGTCACATCCTTGTATAAATAATACGAAACATGGGTGCTTTCTCAGAGACCAAACTGCTCAAAAAAATACTCTGATGGCAGTGAGATAATCTAAAAAGATTATGTTGACAAACATGTCATGACATTTATATGTAGACATTCATTTCCTTCCCAGGAATGCTACATTGACAACGACTTCACATCACTCTACTATGTTGCCAACTCACTGATGGGCTTGCAGCTATTGTATGGCACCATACCAAAGATCTACAGCAAAGGAGAAATGGCAAAGGTGAGGGACAGTAGTACTGTTGAAATTACTTGTTTGTTTATTTTTAGAGCACACAGACACAAGTAGTTTTTGGTGCTCTTTTCTTTGTGTTCTCAGTATTATTTGTACTGCAGTATGCGATAAAGCAAAGGGTGTTCATGTAACTTTCAACAAAAAAAATCAAAAATTAGGGATTGCCTTAACTCAAAAATTGTGCATTTTTTCACACAAAGCAGGACTAACTTTACTTGTATTGACAAGGACTTTCAAAATGTTCGTTGACATCCACAACAAAATGCAAGGGAACCCAATGTATCCCAGAATTCACATCATTGTATTGACAATGGCATCCTAAAAATTGATTGCAACCCACAAGACAATGCTGGGGACCCAAATTTGAGCAGTTACATGGATCTCAGGTCCAAAAAGTCCTAAAGAGTTTTGTTTGATCTGCTTATATTTCTTATATATGTATTTCAGCGTGTGCTCGATATGGTCATGCGAAAGAAAAGAGAAATGGCAGACACTGAGAATCAACTACCACCACAGATAGATACAGTACTGTTACTAGACCGAGCAGTGGACCTATTGACACCTTTATTTACGCAGCTCACTTACGAAGGGCTGATAGATGAATTCTATAATATACAGAACAGTAAGTAATGGCAGACACTGGGGGAGGGGGAGCAGTGGATCTATTGACACCTTTAATTATGCAGCTCACTTACGAAGGGCTAATAGATGAATTCTATGATATACAGAACAGTAAGTAATGGCAGACACTGGGGGAGGGGGTGCAGACGATCTATTGACACATTTATTTACTCAGCTTACTTACGAAAGGCTGATAGATGAATTCTATAATATACAGAACAGTAAGTAATGACAGACACTGGGGGGGGGAGGGGGTGCAGTGGATCTATGACCCCTGATCTATGATATAGAAACAGGACAAAGACTCAGACAGGACATCCACTCTCACAGGTGAAATTATATTTCCTTTCATTGAGAGATTGCTGGGTTTTACTATTTCTAATCTGGAGTGAATAAATTATATTATGGTAAGAGCGTTGGCCTGTTGTCTGGCAGTACATGGTCAAGCCTCATCCAGACCAACACTCAGTCTTAAAATAACCGAGGAGGAGGTGCTGCCTATGTAATATTACATCTACAAATGGTTAGACCTTCATGCAGCTTGGATGACTACATTAATGGTGGGCATATCTCTAATCACCTAGAGACGTTAAAAAAAGAACACAAGTTTATCAGTTGAATTACTGTCAAGTGTCATCCTCTATAAACAAAGTTCATTTTCTTATTAATTATATTATAACAGTAATATCTTCTGTTTCATTATCTTCTACAGCTACAGCAAAATTTCCTCCAGAAAACTTTCCCAAACCAGAAGAGAAAGGCCCCAGCACTTCCCAGCAGCCACCAGGACCCAAAAAAGTTGTCCTCAACTCTGGCGATGAGCTTTTCTCAGATATCCGTGACTCAAACTTTTCAGCTGTTGGTCTTCAATTGAGCAGACGAGCCAAGCAGATTAGTGCTGCGTTTGAGGTCAGTTACACATCTGCGCAAGGGAATTATGTAGGATTTAAAACTGGTAGTACAGTCAATAGACCTCTTTACCTTGGGTGTAATGTTTTCCATTTCAGACCTTGTGTCATTCTCTTGAGAATAAGATTCTTTGTTTGAGTTGTATCCATATTCATGTGTCTTCTCATGTGCAATAGTTAAATGAAGAAATGATACTCTAGGGAATGACATGTGGTCTGAAATGGGAAAACATTACTCCAAAGCTAAAGAGGACATCTTCGGGACATTGCCAGATGCCCGCTTAATAGAGGTTGTCAATCCGAACAGAGGTTATACTCAAGGAAATGATGAGAAATCAAATAGATAAAATTACCCTTGATGGGGTAACAACAAGTCATGCAACAAGTTTCATGATTAAAATACATACAAACAATTTCACCAAATTTAATTACTATGGAGATATTAAAATAGCAGGTTCCGAAGGGTGAAGTCCTACTTACATGCTCTGCTCCCAAATGTTCCTCAGTCGTAGGTTTCGTTACAGCAAGAGACACTGGAGTGAGAGACTAACAGCAGCCTTTTTATTCGGGGGGAGGGGAGGGGGGAGAAGAAGAGGGAGGGCAGTGCAATTTCCTTGCATTCAAAGCACAGTTAATATCCAACTTTTGGATCTAATAAGCTTCGTTACAAGTCTCGGAAAGACCAAAGTTAATAGAGGGGAATGGTTATGAAACCTATTGTTATAGGTCTTTGTTCGCTTTTGATGTTGAACCGGTCTTGACCGTGCACAATGTTTGATTTTTGCTCATCCAAAATTGCAAAATAAGTAAACATAAACTTCGTCTATGGGATTGTCGTAAGGAATATTCAAATATCTCTTATAAATCTTTAAGTATTTTGAGCTAGAAGCTAAAAGAAAGATTTTGGTCTGTTCACTCAGCCATTGCCAACAATGGTAAAACAAAGGATTGCAGAGTCACGCTTGAAAAAAGTGAACAAAGACATACAACAATAGGTATCATAACCATTCCCCTCTAATGACTATGGAAAGACAAAATACTGATCATAGTTTTTGAAGTCAAATATAAATATTTTTATTGCGTGTCATCGACAGGAGCACAAAACAGCAAAAACAGTAGGAGAAATGAAACAATACGTCCAAAGGCTTCCATACATGCAGAAAGCTAAGGCCTCCTTGGCTATACGTAAGTACTCAAGACATTCCTTGTCTCGCACTTAGAACCCCGCTCACACTGTCAACACAAGCACACGTTTTAGCCAAATACTAAGACTGTTTATAGACGGGGAGCCGAGAGAAAGGGAATCGTTAGTCCTATTGTACCGTGTGTTTTATGGTCCCGAGACGGCGATGTTTTCAAGATGAAGTCGAGGGAAACATCACCGTTGAGGGACCACAGAACACACTGCTTTCCTGAGGTTCCAATCAATAAGTGTTAATTATTTTAAGGGGGTCAGATCAAATACGGCGTCTAAGGACTGGTTTCCAATTTGGCCCACTTTACACACCACACACCACTTTACATTCCACACAGACACTTCTCAGCGATTTGACTTACAGAAGCATTTCATTCTCTTTGTTATCTAGATATGTCTATAGCTGAACTGCTCAAGGAAAAAACAGACGATGAAGAGTTTCGAGAAGATATTCGACTTGAACAGGAATTTGCGCAGGGCTTGGACACAGACAAGATTAACCCTTACATAGAGAAATACATCGCTTTGAAAAAACCACTTAATAAGGTAAGGATCGAGAGCAGGTGCAAGTATTAGTATTTAAACGCATAGGTGATTCCTGTTCTAGTCAAACAGGGCATCATTTGTCAAAGTGAAAACTTTCCCGTCATTTCATCTCGAGTTTCGCAAGATGAACGTGCGCTCTAATGAACCTTCCCTGGGATAGTGAATATAGTGCATTGTGATCTAACTTATCTTAGCCATCCCTAAATGGTGTTTCATCCGACATCGTTGAAAATACAGCCAATCAGCGTGGAGTAAAAGTGTTGTATATTCGGCAGTATTTCACTGTTCCTTCCTAGGTTTACTTTCAAACCAGTGTGGGATAAAATAGTTATGCATTGCTTTTCAGTACCAAACCATGTATCTTTCGTATACTTGTATCTTTTGTATACTTACTAACCTGAAGCCTCGTGTGTATACTAAAAATGTGCCTCATGGGATATCCCATGGTATCCCTTCCGTGGTTGAGGGTCAAAAGCTGGGTCACTTTGACATTGCAGTGCATATTGTGGGACTGTTTTATGGGACGTTTCCAAGACGGTCACTAAAACAGCTCCAAAATGCACTGAAATGCTAAATATATCGAGTTCTTCCCTCAACCAAGGAATATCTAATGTACGACCAGAATGCACCCTGTTTATCAAACTCACGAAAAGGCGTGTATTTCAACAATTATTTCAGTATTTCATTCAATAAAGGTTTGTTTCATATGTGTCTTGTTAGGTGTTACGTCTAATGTGCATTCAGTGTTTAACAAACAACGGTTTCAAGCCTAAGATGCTCGAGTACTACTTTCGTGAAATCATACAGGTTGGTTTTACTTTTATTAATACTAAATGCTTGATTTTGAAAAAGAACTTATTCATACTGGTATTTTGTTCTACAAGATGGCCCTGTTGTTCTGTGTTTGGTCACATTTATTGCGCAGAGCAAGATTCATTGAGGACTACGATAGCACAAAAACTAGACACAAAAATGAAAGCTTGGATATTTTCTCTTTGTCGCTTTTCACTAAAAAGCTGTGGTTACGATTGGCTTCATTGTCAGTAGTTAGATAAATCAAGGACTGCGGTTTTGTTTAATTGTGGGGTGGTACCCTGGGGCTCTGAGTGTTTTGTGGGGGGTAGGGAACCATAGTGCGCGCCGTCAATGACGACATGTCACTAAGGGTTCGCCTCATTTTAACTTCAGAATAATACATATACCAAGTGTAAAGTAAAGAATACACAAATTTTTAGAAGTACGGATGGCATGCGCTGCTAATGCGCCGCCTCTCACCAATGCGACCCGGGTTCGAGCCCTGGCGAGCTCGGTGTTGTATGTGAGTTCAGTGAGTTGTTTGTTGGTTCTCTTCTGTGCTTCAAGGGTTTTTTCTCCGGGTTTCGCATGTTTTTCCTCCCTCCACAAAAAAACAACTTTTAATCATTTGGGTTGCAAGGCCTGTTAGGCATTAAGCCATCCACCCAGAAGTGGTAAACGCATTAGACAATTTCAACAATGCAAGGTTCCTGTAGATAATTTGATTTCTATATTTCTTTTCCAGACATACGGGTTTGATCACTTGTATCGAACACTGACGCCATTACAGACCGCTGGTCTCCTCAGACAACAGGGAGCCCGCACTTACACAGCTATGCGCAAATCCATCAAGCTATTCGTTGAGGATGTGCGAGAACAGGTAACTATGCTGCGCAAACTCACCAATTTATAAAAACCATGAAACAACTTCTGGGATGACCTAACTCAGGGCAGGGCTAACTCACAGATGGAAAGGCTGTCTTACGTACGGGGTTTTCTTGGAAAACAGCCACAAAGCTTTGTCATTTTTTATGGATTTTTTCAAAAGTTGTTTCTTTTAAGAAATCTTTTCCATATTAATTAATTTTCATTTAACTTCAATGATTTCAGAATCCTGACGACATTGCCTACGTGTATTCTGGTTACGCACCGCTTAGTGTTCGTTTGGCTCAGTTTCTGTCCAGACCACAGGGATGGAGAGGACTGGAAGAGGTAATGATGATTGTAAAACTCCATGCATTATAATGGCTTGGATGCGAGGCCATCATGAAAATACAAAAGAAATCACACTTTTTCTTGGTGGAATTTACGGCATTTCTATTGTATTTTCGTGTTATCCTCGCATTCAAGACAATTTTAAGAAGGACCCATTGCTTCACTAACTCGTGCTGATAACCTGTTATCTTGACCGTTTCATTTATAGGTATTGAGATTGTTACCAGGACCCACCATTGAAGAACGACAGCCTTTACCACCCGGCCTACAGAAACGTGAGTATTCATGTTCTGCTTGTTTAGTATTTGTAGGTCATTAGGAGTTCACGTACCAACCTGAGTATTGACATCCTTCTTGTTCGGTATTTGTAGATTGTTAGGAGTCATGCTAGCCTGTTTGTGTAAGGATAATCTTAACTAAAATTTGAATAACGTTTCGTGTCGCGCAAATAAAGTTTTCACCCTTCCTTTTATAAATCATTCCTTCCACCAAAAGCACGCTTGTCGCTTAAGTAAGACACTTTGGACAGCCAAAAAAACAGGTTGCGCGTAAATAAGCGTTCGTAGCGGTAGTGCGCTCGCCTCTCACCTCTGGGGTCTCGGATTCGATTCCGGGACTCGACATCGAAGAAGAGTTTTTTGGGTTTCTCCCTTGATTTTAGTGAGGGTTTTTCTCCTGGTTCTCCGGTTTTCCTCCCTTCGCAAAACCTAACATGCTAAATTACAATTCGATCTTTGGGTAAGCCACACCCTTACATAGATTAGGGCCCGGTTGTACAAAGGGTGTATAGCGCTATCCAACGGATAAATCGTTATCCACTAGATAACTCGATGGTGTTATTTAATAAATTTATCCACCGGATAAGATTTATCCATCGGATAGCGCTATCCACCCTTCGTACAACCTGGCCAAACTGACAGTAATATTGGTAGCCCCCCTAAAGTAGCACTAATCTATTTTATCGTACTTATACTGAGGTGGCTGCATATAGTTATTAATGTTATTTATGCTGGCTTCAGGTTCTTCTGCGCCAGCTGATAGTAATGTTGGTAGCCCCCCTAAAGTAACACTAGTCTATTTTATCGGCGGGTGTACTTATGCTGAAGTGGCTGCATTACGATTTCTATCACAGCTGGACAACAGTGAGTAAAACAAAACCTATTAGACACTTCGTTTTCTCTACTCCTTTTGAAAAAATATCGTTATAAATAAGGGGGCGTTCATTTATTTGCACATGGGGGGAGGGTCGGCAAAATTGTAGGGGGTTACGTTATTTTGAGAAAGTGGTTAGAGGGGGTTATCACATATTGAGGAGGTTGAAAAACTATTGCAGGGTAATGAAAGGGGGTTATGCAATTGTTGCCTCTACCATGAAGGGGGCCAATTTTCGGAAATATGAAATCTTTAGTCTCATCCTTCAAAAGAGACATTCGTCTAGGAAAATCTTGGTATCCTGAAAAAAAAACTTTACAAGTAAATTCTTACCATTATCTACTAGGGACAAAATCGCAAAAAAAATCGCAGCAAAAATCACCGCAAAAACAGCTAGTGTAAACAGGGCTTAATAATCTGCATACCTACTATTCTCCTACATCGGCTACCTTTCTCCTCTCTTTACATAACTTAGCGTGCCTTTTATGTAGGCTGTTTTAAAGCAAATCTACGAATCAAACATGAACGTGTTTATTTAGCAATTGGTTGAGAACAACACGCCATTGTCAGAAACGTTGCAAACGTCTCCACACGATGAAATTGGTTTAGCGCAACGTCGCAGAAAACGAACTCGAGTCCTTTTCTTACGTTCCCGGCAATGTTGCGCTCATCCCACAAGCATCTTTCTTGACTTTATGATTTCTTGCCACAGGTCCAACAGACTTCATCATCGCCACGACAAAGATGATCAATGGTTCTTCGTGGATTGAATCAATGATGGAAGATACAGTGCCGTTGGAATCGAATCCTTTTTCTTAGACTGCAAGGTTACATTAGGATTAAAATAATAAATGGCCTCCCTGTGGTAATAGTAAGGAAAATATACACAGGTATACCAACGGCATAAAAACCATTATACAGGTTGGCCGAGGAAAGTGTAATAGTGTTTATTTGATAACAGGTGTATGTGTAATCAAATTGCCACTGTATGCTTCATCTTTGCGACTAAAACCATTCCTACTAACATACGTTAAACCTTGAAAATCATACTTTAAAAATCATTTTCCTTGCGCAAGGTCAAAAGCATTTTTGAAGTGGGAAATTAATGTTCATAACTCCGAGAAATTTCAAATCCACGTAGTCTCAATTATTTCTTACGACAAAAGAGTTTCAACTATAATGATCCTGTAAACAAGTGAAATGATCTATAAATGGTTGCCAAAACATGAGACGAAACAAATAAATCTATGAGATTTTTATTTCCAAAAAAAATAAATACCACGACAATGACAGTCTTCTCCTTCTGCTTCTCTCTCTCTCGCGCCCTCTCTCTGTCTCTCTCCTTCTCTGCATGTCCTTCTCTGTCTATCTACCTATTGGCCTAATTAACTGTCTGTCTGTCTGTCTGTCTTTCTATCTCGCGGCAACCGAAATAATCCAAGATTAGGATAGTAACCACGACGTATGAATAAAATTCATTTTTCTCTCATTCCTCACATTGTCATAAAAACGATCAAAACCAGACAGTTTAGAATAAATATTAGGCAGTTTTAGCTAATATTTAATGATTACAGTAAATGAAATTTAAGCATTAAAAGATAAATAAATAGATAAATATTTGTATGTTTTATAAATTATCATTATCTCATTATCATGCAAAAAGCTCTTTAAAATGTTCTAGAATCTTAGCATTTTTGGCAACAAATATGTGAAACGTTCTAATAACACGACACTGTACGAGGCAAAAGTGTAAACGTTCTAACAGTATGAAATATTCCTTTATTCGCGATTCTTGCATTGTCATTTAGTCATATGTTTTCCTGCGTGTTTCGTGATTGGCAAATAATTTTGTAGTTCAAAGGGTTTACTCGTGAACTTCTGATTGGCTAATGAGACAGGTTCGGATCCTTTTGATCGCGTGACATCATATCAGTCTTCACTTTACTCCTCTTCTTGAGAAAATGAACACCTATGTCGCGGTCTTGTTGGTTGGTTCTTTCTGCCTTCTTCAAGCGGCCGTCGTGGTAAGTAAAGCAAAAGTATTTTGCATCAATCGTTATTTTTACGCTTTGGGATGCCCTGTAGTTTGCGCGGTCAAGCATTGGAAAAACTTTCCAATTTCTTAGTAAATGGTACAATTTTTAGAGTTGAAAATTGAAAATTGTAATGAAATAGTTAAGTTTTAGTGGATTTTCCTTTCCTTCCCTTTCCCTTCCTCTTTCCTTTCCCTTCCCCTTTCCTTTCCTACCTTTCATTACTTTTCCTCTCGATACCTTCCATTTCTTTCCTCCGTCTTTTTTCTATTTTTCATGCGTCAGTTACCCCCTTCCCCCTCCCCCCTCTGCTCATAGTGACCATAGCTTTTGAATTGAACAAGCTTTTGGACAAACTTTTGAATAGATTTTGAAATTTTTCCTTAAGAAAAGAAAAACTTTCTTTTTCGTGACGTGAATTTTCGTTATTCCATATCCCTTGTCTTGTGATGCAGTTATTGATTCAGCTAACTAAAGAAAGCTTTCTACAATGCGATCTTTGTGAAAACAGCTTGGGGGAAAATCAGAGAAGACAAACATTACAGAAAAGCAATGTAAACTTGAATCTGCGTTGTGCGTCTGTGTTTTGACATTAGTTTTGCCTTTCTTTTCAGAAAATCAATGTATGTGTACGCTTAGAGTTTCTCACGACAAACTCTAACAATGAGCTTCCCAAAGCACCGCCTCCACTAACACTGAAAGTACGTAATGGTACAAACACACATAACATTCTCCGACAAGCAGCCAAACTTGACTCGAGATACGCATTCACGACAAAGGCCTATTCGTTTGGGAACATGGTGACGTCCATATCTGGTGTGCACCAAGACCACACGAACAGCAAATACTGGATGATCTACTCTGATCCGAATACCTTGACGCCTACAGGGATTGACCACTATCGTCCCAAAGATGGATCTTGTGTTATCTTTAAGTATGAGAAGCTTAGCCTGGTTTAGAGAGGCTCCAAACATGTGACACAATAAAGCCTAGGCATAGATTAAAAAGAAAACAGTAGTAATGATATATTTTGCTTCTGGTTTTAAAGTGTAACCAAAAGATACCGTACAAAAAAAACTTGAGTATATAAAGTAAAAAAGTCTAGGGTTTAAACTTTACATACAGTATATTGTATGGCGTACCCCAGGCTCATTCCTAGGGCCACTTTTTTTTCTTTTTTTTTTTTTTTTTTTTGTCATCTTCCCGCTAACGTCATCCTTGGCATTCGTTTCCAACATCACAAAGAACAAATTACATCACGTCCAAGCCTTAACTTGACCTATCTCAATTTATTTCCTATAGATCCTGTAATGTGTATGCTTGCATATTTTAAGCAAACTTACATCCATCAACATTTGACATACGCTTACATAAATAACACGAACCGATATACAGATGAAAAGATGGTATGCGGCCCACATAATGCCCTTTATATACATAAACACTGAGATTGGTATTGGCTACAAGTCCATTTTATAAATAGACATGTCATTTATACCTCACGAACGAAGTCACGAACGATAGACAGACTGTCAGTTCATAAAGGAGGGACAGCCCACATAATGTCCTGGGTATATATACAGATTGGTATGGTTACAAGTCCATTTTGTAAAGAACGAGTGTGTGAATCAGATTGTTGCATCTCGTAGGATAGCATGTATTATCAAATCCTTGTTATTTTCTGTGTGCTGGTGTTTCCCACGCCAAGTAATGGGTTCTGTGGTAAGTTGTGAAGGCTATTGAAATGATATGCTTTTTCGTTTTATCTCATTTGTTGCGAAACTTCAAAATATCGATCAGTATAGAAGAATAGTCCCTTTCACAATTCCCTGCGCCATCTCGAAAGGAAGCCGTGGACTTGCATCGAAGCGAGACGAACGGAGAGCTTACAATAATAGACACCTTTTTGAACACATTGGACAATTATTCACATGTTTCTATCATTGCAAGCTCGCGGTTCGTCTCGCTTCGATACAAAGCCACGGCTTCTTTTCAAGATGGCGCATGAAACCTTGGAGATGACTATCAAATTTCTTTTCAGTAGCAAGAGTAAGCATGGCAGATTTTCATTCACTTACGAATTCTTTAACACCTTTTTCAGTTACTCATAAGATTTTTCTCTTAATTTGACTTAATGGAACATACTTTGTTTCCTTTTTTAGATCGTTTCATTGTTCTCGCTCTGTTGTCTCAATAGATATTCCTTTCTTGCTCAGTAATTCTTTCTTCCTTAAAGCCAAAAGTGTAACATGTTTTAATTCATGACCGAAAATACAAAAAAATAAGTTGATTCTCGCTAAAACGATCTTCTTGGCAACATTTCATGTTCAAACTTTTTTCAAGCCTTGTTTTATTCAGTAAACGCATTTTCATCTCTTGCATTCTTACGTACACATCAATTTGGTTGACGAAGATTTCCTTAAAAAAATATTTACACAGATATTCATACTTTGTTGCAGAATTTTACCTCGTATATATAGGTACATGTTGTTACCTATATTTAATGTTTAATGAATTATTTGCCACATTTTTGGCCGCATTGTACCATATTGCAATTGTGTCTAAATTGAATAACGACGTACGAAATAATCCAACAGCCATGCAGGATATTAACTGTACTCGTTCTGCAATCCCGATGGCATCTTTTTCCTGTTTGTTTTAGCAAGTGAAATATATTTCTCAAAGTTTAACGAGTCAGTTCTTGTTTTTAGTAATAACTCTTTCAAAAGATTTCTTAATATTTTTCAAATCCTTAAACAAACACTATGGATCTCTGACAAGATCTTGAATGATTTCCTAGGTTCTCGAAAACTTAATGGAGACCTGGCTCGCTCCTCTACTAGAGCAGCCGAGTTTCTTCGCGGAAAACTGGAAGAAAACTTCCGTTTTGACCCAGAATATACCCGCGCTGTCGTCATCAGGTCTCTTCGTCTGGCAGGCTACACAGTAGATATGCTCAACAATCTTGGAACGAATCTAGACGACCTTGCAAACGAACTTCATCAGCAAGGACTTGGGAAAATCTCGACAGGACGTATTGCCTATTACGTCCAGGGAGTCCTTTCTATTTGCCAAGACCCGAGAGCGTTCCATGGACATAACTTGATTAAACGTCTTGAAGATGGTATAAAGGCGTATCCTGTTGTTGGATTCAACCATCCATTTCCATACAGCCTTGCAGTATTGTCCCTGTGTATGAGTGGGCATGGAGAAGCCTCTTACTCCGAGTATGCCCTGAAAATCCGAAACACGATCAATCAGATTATTAACAGCACGCATAGTAAAGACACCGTTGCGATGGCGACCATGGCGTTGGCGTGCATGAGAGATAAAACGAAAAACGATGCAATCTGCAGCAATGTGTTGAAAAAGACCATCAAGGTAGCTACTAATTGGATGATGACGAAGCAGAACAGTAATGGGAGTTTTGGCAACAGTATCACCACGGCCCACGTGGCTAAAGTATGTTTCGACTTAGTATGGTTCTATTCAATTTCTATTCTATGTTTGAGTGATTTTGTAATTTTTATCCATTTTGATTATCCGCTTGCTTGCTTGCTTGCTTGCTTGCTTGCTTGCTTGCTTGCTTGCTTGCTTGCTTGCTTGCTTGCTTGCTTGCTTGCTTGCTT